GGAGAGAGATGAGTCAGGGAGGAGAGGCATACAAAGGAGGCTGCTGAGAGGCAACATAGCAGAGTCAAGCCTGATGAGAACTGAACACAGGCTATTCCCACTGTCATTTCCCAGTGTAGACCTTTTGCCTCCTAGGTGTCCTCTGTCTCCAGTTCTTTCCTATCAACACTTCCTGAATTTTCTGACCCACAGATCTCTTGCAAATATTCCAAATACAAATTCCTTAGTCTGGCATTCACTTTAGCTTTTGCCTTTCTAGCTTCATCTGTCACTATTCCTCTTTCAGTTTCTCAAACTAGCTGAAGTCAAATATTTTCTTGACTATACTCATTCATTCCTGTATGGAAGCTGGATTAGACAGGGATGATACCCGACCTAGAGCCTAAGTAGGCTATTGAGATAGTCCACTCAAGGTGCTCAAATGGGAAAGGGGATAATTTTGAGATATTGTAAGTGTATTCTTGTGCATGCTATTAACAGTTGGTGGAGACCTAATAAAAATGAAGATGTTATAAGAGTTCAGGGATGTGGAACACTTTTCACAGGGTTTGTGTGAAGATACACTTGGAAATGTCTTCAAGGGCTGGCAAACTTGAAGCCCCACACAACTGTTTCCCATGTTCAGGTAACTTGACAATTACCATGCTAAAATATGAGTCATCTTTTATACCCTTCCACGGCTAGTATAGATTATGGAGAGCAATGAATACAAACTTAAAAAAGATGAACAAATGAGTGGCCACCTGGCCGAGCAGACCCCAAACCTGTCAATGGAAAAAAATCAAACCTGTATAATAATTTTAAAGTGATTTATTCTCAGCCAATTTGAGGACCCTGACCAGGAGCCACTGCCAAGAGGCCTTGAGCAAGTAGACTGGATGTGGTAGGTTACAGTTTGGTTTTATACATTTCAGGGAGACAGGGGATACAGGTAAGTCATAAATCAATACGTGGGAGGCATACATTGGTTTGGCCCCAAAGGTGGGACATCTCTTAAGGGAGGAGCTTACAGGTTATAGGTGGTTAAAGATTCTTTGGCTTGTAATTGGTTAAAGACAGGAGCTTTGAGGCTTGGAATGTTTTAACATGAAGCTGTTTACCAGGGATGAGCCACCAGCCATAGATTTGTTGTGTAAATTGAGGACCTGCAGGTTTGTCTTGCATATCCTTAGGGTTAATGGGTTACAAAGCATATTTCCAAGAAGGGAGGGGGGCATAAGGCATGTCTGACCTCCCTCCTCCTGGCAGACAATTTAATTTTAGGATATTCCTTTGGCCAGGAGGGGTCCGTTCAGTCAGCCGGTGGGCGCGGTGCGCCTTAAACTTTTATTTTAGTCTCCAAATCCATGAGCAGATCTGGAAGCTGGGGCAGCTCTCCTGCCCCAACTTCCAAAGTCTCCAGAAAGAGGAACTCCATTGCCCATGAGGCCTTTCGCGACGCCCGGCGCTCCCGCAGGGCATCCTGGGAGGGTAGTCCGCTTTCCGCCCACCGCGCTCTGAAGACCCGCCCTCGCCAAGATGGCGGCGTCCAGTTGGGGCGGTTCGTCTTCTCCGCGTTTTGGCCGGGCCGGGGTCAGGGCTTAGGCAGTAAGTCGGGCTGGCTGCCGGGTATCCCCAGGGCGTCGTGGGAAGCGTAGGGACGTTGTCGGCCGCACAGCCTGAGGAGGGCGAGCCGAAGGGCGGTCGGCCTGCGCGGGTACTCGGCGCGTTTCTGACGTTGGGTCAGTGGTCTCCGGCCGCGGGGACTCTCCTGGTCGCGCCTCTGGGACCGGGGTGGCGTGGAGGGTGGAGGCCCGAGGGCCCGGCCGCGAAGTGGGGGATGCGGGAATCCAGAAGATGAGCTCGAGGCTAGACTGTCAGTTCCATTTTTTTTCTCCTGAGGAGTGTATTTCAGCGTTTCTTGTCAATTAGAAACTGTCTGGCGCTTTACATTTCTCGTCTTCCAGTGACCCTGCGCCACATTCGATATGAAATTTGAGCAAGTGACCCAGGTCCCAGGGCTGATGTTTGGATTAGTGAATACCATTGAGGGCTTTAGATGCCGTAATTTTAGTTGCAGTCTACTGACCCCACACAAGGGACCTCCTGTCAGCCTTCCAGCTTTGAAACTGCGTACTAAGCTGCTATCAATATGAATTCGATTCATTTAATTAATTGAATGTCATAATCTGGTACAAGTACTGAGGGGTGTGAGAAGCAGAGATTTCAGTGAGTGATAGATGGTCTCAAGATCCCTGTCAACTCTTGGAATCTAGGATTGCCTTTACCACCCCAGTAGTGAATTAGGCATGATGATGTGTTTTCTTTGTTTTCTAATTAGTAATGTAAACATGCCTTTATGAAAAAGTGCTATCGTTTGGCCGGGCCAAACTCTGTGCACTAAATGCCTTTCTTTCATTACGTCATTTGTTTAGGTGACCCTAGGGAACGTACAGTATCCTATTTTATACAAAAGAATACAGGTTAATAACCTGCCCAAGGTCACACGGGTAGTCAGGATCCTGGTAGGGATGGAAGAAAAAAACCAAAAAATCCAGATCTTGTTAACTCTAAAACCCAAGGTACTGTACTTACTTTCTAAGGAACAACTTCACAAAATATATTCTCCCAAGTGTCAGGTAGGAGATTTGGGGTAAAAAATCATTTTAAAATAAAACCATTTATATAACATGTCATTTTTTTTAAGGGTAGTATTTAGTTTCACAATGTTTGGGGACCTATTTGAAGAAGATTATTCCAGTGTGTCAAATAATCAGTATGGAAAAGGGAAGAAACTAACGACTAAAGCTTTGGAGCCCCCTGCTCCGAGAGAATTCACCAATTTAAGTGGAATCAGAAATCAGGGTGGAACCTGTTACCTCAATTCCCTTCTTCAGACTCTTCATTTCACACCTGAATTCAGAGGTATGCTATGTTACATACATTTGATCAGTAATAAGTACCATGATCTTTACATGTAATTAATTATGGAAAATCACAAGTAGACATAGTATCTTAAAGATGTATTGCACAGTATGTGTTTATTGTTGCAAATGTAAGATATAAGTTGGATTATATCTTATATAAGATATAATTCTACAGAGCAATGTGAAGCTTAAATTATCTTAAATATATTGTGTGGTTTCAATAATGTTTAGTAGCAAAAAAAAAAATAAGGTAATATATTATTTTATAATTCCTTCAATTTAAATACAACATGAAGACAATTCTGTCACAAGTATTAGCTTTCATTGTTGTTATACTGTTTGTATTTTTGTACTTTAAAACTTCTCCAAAACAGGCCAGGCTTGGTGGCTCACGCCTGTAATCCTAGCACTCTGGGAGGCCGAGGCGGGAGGATCACTGAAGGTCAGGAGTTCAAAACCAGCCTGAGCAAGAGCGAGACCTTATCTCTACTAAAAATAGAAAGAAATTAATTGGACAACTAAAAATATATAGAAAACATTAGCTGGGCATGGTGGTGCATGCCTGTTGTCTCAGCTACTCGGGAGGCTGAGGCAGAAGGATCGCTTGAGCCCAGGAGTGTGAGGTTGCTGTGAGCTAGGCTGACGCCACAGCTCTCTAGCCTGGGCAACAGAGTGAGACTTTGTCTCAAAAAAAAAAAAAGAAAGAAAGAAAACCCCCAAAAACAAAACACTTAAGCCAGAGTTATCTAACAATTATTTCTTTTGGAGTGGGGAGGGCTGTCACATTACTTATAGGGATCCACAGTTCATCTGCATTCCTGAAAATCTAAAAAGCTCTCACTCTGATCTGATCTGATCTGACCTGAATTTGTTTGGCTTTAGAACCTAACCCGATGTAAGGTTATTTAGTCTTTAGTTTTCTCAATTGGATGAATATTCATACATTCATTACAAGAATATTAATCTGTATGATTAATGGATAGTCTGTCCCAGACCCTCTTGGGAATGGAATGGAGTGTATATAACCCTTTTTTTATATTACTTTTCTAAAATGTGGAAACTTTTGAGTTCCAAAGACCCAAGGATTTTTAGGTAAGGGATTATGTACAAGGAACAGAAAGCCACTCAAATTAGCTACATTAAAAAAGAGGATTATTGTAAGAATTTAGGGGAATCTCCCAGAGACCAATTATAAGAAGTGAGCTTGACCTCCTTCAACCCTTGATTTCTTGCCCCTGTTTTTCTCTGTGTGTTTTTCTTATTCCCCTTTCTGCACACTGTTTCATCTGCAAGAGTCTTAGTGTCTGTGTTCCCTTGATCTTAGTGTGAACATTACTTTTCCTTCACATGGCCCTGACTGGGGACCCTAGCACTACAGGACTCTGTAGCTCAGTTCTCCATAGTGTCTCCATATTCTGAGGACAGACAACCTGACTCATCCTGTGTGTGGTTTGCCATGTTTCCTCTTCCCACCACCACCAAATTTATCAAATTTTGTGATGTCTTCTGTTGCTTCTAAGCTTACAAAGACTTCCTGCCTCCAGAGATTTAGCAAATATTTACCATTGTCCTCTTTCCAGAGCCTTTCTATGGATTGGACTGCATGTGGGATGTAAGAGTGGTGCCTCTTGTCCTTGACTCTGTCCCCTGCATAAAAATATCTTCCTGATGTAGTCATTAATTCCACCATTAGAAATTATCAGCATTTATAAGCAGATTCCTAAAAGGGATAAAACTTTTTCAGGTTTTAACATAGTTAATGGGCAACTTGGAGTAGAAATTAGCCTCAGAGAGACTGAGCAGGAGGTGAGGCAGTGGAGCAGGTTGTGGAGAGTGCCACCAGGCAAGAGTAGGACGAGAGCCCCAGGCAGCTTCCTCTCCAGCAGAGGGAATTGCTGACCAAGCACATGGTTTGACATCTTAATGCGAAATGTGCTCTCCTTGTATAGCTTAGCATGAATCTTATGCTGATTGTTGGAGAGGTATAATTTTGAAAGGGTAAAGACTTGCAGAGAACTGGGGGAGAAAAATTTTAGAATAATATTTTAAGGAGTAGGGCTAGTACAATGGAGTAGGCCTGGTACAATGTAGCTCAGAGTAGTGGGAGGTGGCTACAAAAGTTCTTATATGATTTTGTGCTTTAACTTGCAGTTCGTACTTCCCTACTATGTTTCCTAAGATTACTCATGGCTTTTGGGACCCATTGCCATAGGCAATAGGAAGCCTCTAAAGATTTCTGATGTTATTGTTTTTAGTTTTCTGTGCATAAGCTAAAGATTATTTTCCTTTACGTATCCATACTGAGACTTTAGCATGACACTTTATTTTCTTAGGGTCAGTGGTTAAAAATGGTACATCCAAGAAAAGAGAATATGTAGAGTAAGTGTATAAATATTGCCACAATAATATTTCTGAATCTTTAATTGGTTTCACTTAGTGGTGGTCTTGGCTTTCTAAAACAATTTTATTAAATGAAATAATGTCATTTACACCTCTAATTCTACTTTTCTCTTTAGAAGCTTTATTCTCTCTTGGTCCAGAAGAGCTTGGTTCATTCGAAGATAAAGATAAACCCGATGCAAAGGTATTAAATCTGTGATTTGCTGGAGTGTTCTGGAGTATTGAAGAAATGTTTTTTTAAGGAAAGAATTAAGTTACTTATTCAAAGAAAACAATAATCTTATTAATTGCTAAATATAGTCTTTATTTGCAGAAAGTTATTTGGCCTAAACCCTAATGATTAATTAATTAATAGATTTTCCTTCCAAAAAATTAATTTTCCAGATATTAAATGTAATACTGCTACTACTTTATAAACCTTTCCTTGCTCTCTGCTATGTGTATTTTTTCTTCTGGTGAAGAAAATATTTGCACATCTACACTAGTCTATCAAAAAAAATGTATTTAGATCACTTATTTGCAACGATACCAAAATAAAAAAAATAGAGACCAGTATTCTTTCAATTTGGTACTCTGGAAATAAATTGGGTAAAAAATTGTTTTGTTGGCCGGGCGCTGTGGCTCACGCCTGTAATCCTAGCTCTTGGGAGGCCGAGGCGGGCGGATTGCTCAAGGTCAGGAGTTCAAAACCAGCCTGAGCAAGAGCGAGACCCCGTCTCTACTATAAATAGAAAGAAATCAATTGGCCAACTGATATATATATAAAAAATTAGCCGGGCATGGTGGCACATGCCTGTAGTCCCAGCTACCAGGGAGGCTGAGGCAGAAGGATCGCTCGAGCCCAGGAGTTTGAGGTTGCTGTGAGCTAGGCTGACGCCACGGCACTCACTCTAGCCTGGGCAACAAAAGCGAGACTCTGTCTCAAAAAAAAAAAAAAAGAAAAATTGTTATTTTATATGTTACTGTGATGAAATTTTATTTAAAGTGCAGATGTAATCATAGTTCAGAAGTTTCTTACCATTTTCAGGTTCTAAGCTATACTTAATAGGAGTCTTTTGTGATCCAGTCCTGTGCTTCTCAAGCCACCTGTGTGGCAAAGGACTAGTTTTTGTGTATTTTTTAAATTCCCAGTCTGTTGCAGCTCAGTACTTCCATAGGATTTAATAAAAATGTCATAGGAATGTCAAATTGCCGTAAAAGTTTCTAAATACTTATTCTCTCTTTCAATCCCTAAAATCTGACCTGCAGACCAGACTCTACCGGGCATTGCTCAGTCTGGCTTAGCCCTTACCACATCTAATAAGACAGGAACAGGCATGGAGCCAGCAGAAAGTGAGGCAGGGGTGACTTGCCCTATAAAGTGTCAGAGTATCTTCACTCCAGAGTGAAGATACACTCCAGAGTGCCTGAAAAATTTCTTCAGAAGGAATATATGTATATCTGAAATATTTGAGAGGAAGAATGGGCTATTAGAGATTCAAACTGTTATAAGTCTGTAGTCAATTGGATGGTTTATTAGGGCCTGTTTGAGCTTTAACATTAATTTCAACTGTGTCAAAGTAGAAAACTCCAGATAAAAAAACCTTTTGGATTGAATTAGAATTTTTAAAGAATAACTGAATCACAATCAGTTCTCCATTTATGATATTATATTTATAAACTTTCTCCTGAATAAACTAGGAGATATGCGAAAACTAGTATGCAGTTGTTTTCAAAAGCCTCAATCGACATCAAAAGAATTCATTTAGAAATGTGTGTTTCTCATTCAGGTTCGAATCATACCTTTGCAGTTACAGCGCCTGTTTGCTCAGCTTCTGCTCTTAGACCAGGAAGCTGCATCCACAGCAGACCTCACTGACAGCTTTGGGTGGACCAGCAATGAGGTACGAAGGTCAGCTTCTCTAAGGAAATATTGCCAGCAATAGAGGAAAGAATAAATGCTGCTTTGCTGTTATCTAACTTCCTTTAATTTTGTCTTAGGATCTCAATGTATTCTTTGAATGTTTCTTTCTCATATTAAAAAATTATAAGCCAGAAATATGTTTTGTAGACACTTGTACACGATTTTATGAATGGCTGTGATTTGGGGTTGGGGAGAAGGTTGTGACTACAAGGAGACATACAAGAGTGAATTTTTACAATTTCTACTCCAAGAATCTTTTTTTTTTCCCCAAGAATCTTTATATAGTCTAGTTGAGATGCAACACCTATTACCATTATAAAGCAAACTGCTGATCAGCTTTTTAGTCTTTGACTAACAACAATGGATAAAGTAAATGGTAACTAAATTTTTAAAATACTGTCTGCCTTTGTGACAAGCTTTGTGTTTGAATCGTGTAATATTTGCTTTAGACAAAACCAGCGAAACCATTCTTTTCAGGTCTTTTCATTTTCCCTGTTCTTTCTCCATTTTTTTCCTGTATCCTATTATGTGTGGGCTTTCTCTCACTTTCCTGTTGGAGTTCCTGAAAGGCAGGCGTCCTCAAACTACGGCTGGCCTGCGGGCCACATGCGGGCTGCCTAGCACATTTGGCCCTCCGGGTGTTTTTGCCACGGCTGCCTGTCCTGCTTAGCAGCTGACTAGTCCTGGGCCCACAGTGCGCACTCTCCAACCGTCTGAGGGACAGTGAACTGGCACCCTGTTTAAAAAGTTTCAGGACCCCTGCTGAAAGGCATTCAACTATATACAAACACTACACCCTTGTCAGCAATGAGTAAAGGTGCTTGTTGTCAATATTGATCAACTGTTAGCTATACAAATTTAAGTGCATCCATGTCTTCTGTTTTTTATGGATTAGCTGTATTTCTGCAAAGACAGGTGTGGGCACCTGTCACAGAATTTAAAGAGGCAATGTAGGAATAATATTATATTGCCTTTAACAATAAAGTTTGAACAGTTGTCTTCTTCTAACCAGGAACACTTTTTAAGTAGGCGATACTATGTGATTAAAGAGCTAGGGCATGGACTTTAAAGTAAAATTGGGTAATAATACAGTCTTTAAACAGGTGTGTTAAATTTTGGATGTAGGGCTGGTACTTGAAGTTAATTCCTTTTTCCTTCACTTTTACTAAATAACCACTCTTTTGAGATATAATTTACATGCCATAAAATTTATGCTTTGAAAGGGTACAGTGGGGTTTTTTTAGTATATTCACAGAGTTGTACAACCATCACTACAACCAATTTTAGAACATTTTCACCAGCCCAAAAAGAAACCCCATACCTATTAGCGGTCATTCCCCATCCCCTTCCCCTCAGCCCCTGGCAACCACTGACCTTTCTCTTGCTATGGATTTGCCTATTCTATACATTTCATAGGAATGGAATCATACAATTCGTGATCTTTTGTAACTGGCTTCTTTCACTTAAGATAATGTTTTCAGGGCTCATTTATGTTATAGTATGTGTCAGTATTTCATTCCTTTTTACTGACAAATAAGATTCTATTTGGATGAATATGCCACATTGGTGTTTTTTAATCTAGTCATCGGTTGATGGATTTCTGTTTGTTTTTAATGATGAGTTTCCACTGAGTTGCTGATTTCATATTTCTTAAAGCTGTGAAAACCTTTTTTTTATTTCATTTTTTCTAAATAAATAATCTTGCAGGAAAACCTCCAGGACTAGACCTGCAGTGGTAGGAGAAAATCTATGAGGTACCTTTACCAAATATAGGATTGTTCAGAAAGAAAGCTTGAAAACTTCCACAAGTTTTCTATCCCATCAGAGCCAGTGATCCTGGGGAAATTTACATTCTTTAGTGTCTTACATTTTAAAAGGCAAGACAGAGACCCCCAAATCCCACATCTTGATCCAGCTTTCAGCTACTTTATCTGCCACTCTTCCCACTAAACTTATTTTTAAATTGTCTTCCCTCACTGCCTCTACTTCTGTACCTTGCATTTGTTCCTCACCACCTTTCTGCTTTTCCCGTCCAAGTCAACAGTGACAACCATGTGCTGAGTCCAGAAGACACACGCTGTTCTCAGCTGAAGGGGCTTTCGGTAGCACCTACCAGCCACCTTAAAGCCTGGCTTCTCCTGGTTCTTGGGGGACCTCACTCTTCGGGATCTCCCCTCCACCGCTCTTCCTCCTCTTCTCCACTCCTAAGTGTTGCTGTGCCCCTGGGCTTTGGGTTATAAATTGCTCTTAAGGAGAGGTTCACACACAGGTACATGACTAATAAATCAAAGCAGTTTCCATCAGGAGTTTTTCCTCAGTAACACTATGTTAGTTTTATTTTAGTGATTTATTCCTCAAAGCAATAAATTCTAGTTCTTTTCTAATGTGGATAATTCACACCGTTCACTCACCACTAGGTGATATTTTCCTGTGCAGACATTGCCAGCTCTTAGACACTGGGCCTATCATGTTCCTTCCTCCTCTCTCCTGTCTGTGGCGTGGCCACTTGTATGGTATGGTTTTCCCCCAGAATGAATACATTTTCTGGTTGTCAGGGGAGTTGAGTTATATATACACACTGAACACAGCCTGTTCATATTTTCATTTTCCAGTATCAATAAAAATAGGTGGTGAGCTCTTAACCTGCTCTTCACTTATTTTACATTAGTCATCCTTATCAAGGCTTATCTTTGGATTGCACAATAAATCTTGTGTTTTGTTAACTAATATTTTTCTAAATGTTTTTAAAAATCCGAAGCACAAGATCACATTTAAAAGTTATCTGTTTCATAGGAGATGAGGCAACATGATGTGCAGGAACTGAATCGAATTCTTTTCAGTGCTTTGGAAACTTCTTTAGTTGGGACCTCTGGCCATGACCTCATCAAGCGTCTGTATCACGGAACCATCATTAACCAGATTGTTTGTAAAGAATGTAAGAACATCAGTGAGAAGCAGGTGAATATACCAAAATATTTTAATAATAAATTATATTGTAAATTATAATTACTGTAATTAAACCTGTGAGCTGTAAACCACGAGGATTAAAATATTTATTACTAGAAATAATTTATTGGGCCTTTTTCTTTTACCATACACCTAAATCACAAGTGTATAATCCAGAGTTCTCCATGTAAACTGAAAGAAGCAAATATCTTGAAACTTAATTTTTTATTCAGTATTCTAATATTTGGAAAATGGATTTGGGGGATGTTTACAAATAGAAGACTATGGCCTTATGAGACAAGCCAATGTCATTATGGTTAGAATATTGTCCAGAAAGTTAATTAGGGAGGTAATAAAAATAGAGAATACTGAGGAATATTTAAGTTGACAAACATCTGTAATTAAATATCGAATTTAGTTTATTACTTTCCTTTAGAAAGTTCATTTATATGTCTGTACTTATGTTTATGTAAACCATATACTATACAAAGCCATTACAAACCTATTTTAATTAGTATATACTTCAGTTCTTTGTAGTGATGTAGATGGCCCTTTTAATCTAATTGGAAATTAGAAATTTGCTCATGTAAATATAATAATCTCTGTTTGCCCTACAAATCTTATACAGCGGTGGTTTCGTCAATGAATAGTAATCCTTTAATAAAAAGGATATTGTGTGTATTTTTGAATTACTGTATGATTGACTTAGCTGTGACATAATAATTCACAAAGTAATTTCAAAGCAATGTATATAAGGCATATTATAAATTAAAGACATTAACTTTTCTTTTCATGTGCTACTTTTATTACTTAAGATTTCCACCATAAACGAATTAGTGCCCTATTATTTTCCATTCCCCTTAATTCCTCAAAATAATGCTGTTGCACACACACAGAGCTATAAATATAATTTAAACTTTCCAAATTATAATAGCATTTATTATTAGAAATATATTGTAATTTAAGTGTAGTTAGAGTAGAATTGATAGACTCCCTTTTTGCCAAATTCCCTCCTCTTAAATTTCATAGAATACCTTCTTTTCCAGGCTCAAACGAATTTTTTTTTTTGAGACAGAGTCTCGCTTTGTTGCCCAGGCTAGAGTGAGTGCCGTGGCGTCAGCCTAGCTCACAACAACCTCTAACTCCTGGGCTCAAGCAATCCTCCTGCCTTAGCCTCCTGAGTGGCTGGGACTACAGGCATGCACCACCATGCCCGGCTAATTTTTTCTATATGTATATTAGTTGGCCAATTAATTTCTTTCTATTTATAGTAGAGACGGGGTCTCGCTCTTGCTTGGGCTGGTTTCGAACTCCTGACCTCCAGCAATCTGCCTGACTCGGCCTCCCAGAGTGCTAGGATTACAGGCATGAGCTATTGCGCCCGGCCAAGAATTTTTTTCTTATAACTTATTCAGTATATCTTAAAGCAACTCTAGCTAAAGAATATGAAGATATGGAGTTTACATCAGAAAATTTAACCCTGCCCTTGCTATTATATTCTATTATAGAGACTAAAAGCAGTACTATAATCCTTATATATACAGTTCTAAATTCAGATGCGTGATTTATTGTGGTTTATATGATTTTCTCATAAATATAAGTTTGATTATATCTATAGTAAACTCCTAAATTTCTTCCTTTATAAATTTTTTTCTAATATATTTTAAGCTATGGGGTGGTAGACCCACATCTGAGGGATGTGGCGTACAGTGCAGAGGGGAAGGGCATGCCTCTAACCCTTGCTAGGTAAAGGCAAAGTTATAAAATCTAATCAATATGTTAAGAAACAAACAAACAAAAAAACATTTATTGGGTGTTGGGCAGGTGGGAGAGGGGGAGGAGGAGATGGGTATATACATACATTATAAGTGCAATGTGCATTGTCAGGAGAATGGACACACTTAAAGCTCTGACTTGACGGGGGAGGGAAGGCAAGAGCAATGTATGTAACCTTAACATTTGTACCCCCATATTATTCTGAAATGAAATAATATGTTTTAAGCTAAATTATAGTTTGATTTAGAAAGGATAATTTAATGACCACATTGTCTAATCAGGAGATCCACATCTTCATATGTACAGTGTTTTAGAAAAAATATAGCTGATTGTTCCCAATATATGTGTGAGCTAGTGATGTCTTTGTAAATCTCTGTGAAATTGTTTGGTTTTTTCAACATTATATTCATGTATATTTCAGGAAGACTTCTTAGATCTAACAGTAGCAGTAAAAAATGTATCTGGTTTGGAAGATGCACTCTGGAACATGTACGTAGAGGAGGAAGTTTTTGACTATGACAACTTGTACCACTGTGGAACTTGTGACAGGCTGGTTAAAGCAGCAAAGGTAAAGATAGATAGATACCTGCCTTTTTCCAGGGTCCCCACTTAGTACACACTATGTACTTAGTGCTTAATAGCAGGAAGGTCTGTCAACTGAAGTCAACATGTATGAAAAAGTCTGGAGGAGACACTTGAAGCTTTTAACACTAAGGATTGAAGAGACATTTATATTATTATCTGTATTAATTTTTGTAATAAAGAATTTTTTAAAGCTTTAATCCCAACAGTTCTCTCAACTACCTTCTCTCTGGGAAATTTATTTGTACTTCAGTGTTTCGTAAGTATGCCTTTTTTGATAAACTCACCATATGCTGCTTTTTGCAAATTACTATAGTGTAAACGTCTATATTTTTATTCTTGCCAGCGAGAAGCTTGTTGAACTTTTTCTTTCCTTGTTTACTCCTATGAAAATAGATGGCTTATACATTTTCTTAATATGCAGTTATTTTATAATCTTGTCATATGTCCTCCCTCATCCTGGTATATCCAGTATGCCCTTTCCTCTTTCCCCAGGTAGGAATACTTAACTTACTAAGTGAGTGACTTAACAGAAAATACTTATCGTTTTCTTTCTGTACAGCAAAGCAAAACACAAGGTGAAAGAAAGGCAGGATTAAAGCAACTGATTTCTTTTACCATGAGAGAGCTAAAAGAGAAAAGTAAAGCAAATCAATAAGCATAGGATTCTGATATTTCTCAAATTTATTCATCATATTCATACATAAATAGCCATTCCTATAAATATAATTCATAGTTATTTTTTATTCCAGTAAAGAAGAGAAACTTCTCAAGAAGAGAAATAAGAGACAGCTCCCAGTTACTTTCATGCTTGTAAATTTTGCACATTCCAGCTCCTTTATGATGTGGCATTGATTTATTGTATCAGTACTTTGACATTTCTGAAAATCTGCCACATATTAGTGTTTTTATCCCAGTTTTAATGTAAGGTCTCCATGCTTTACTGGTTGAGCACTTTGGATCCTGGATATCTTTTGTTCTAAGAGAGCCTGGCATCTGAATAACTCTCTTTGGGGGACAGATTTTAGGAAAACATTTTATAGAGTTTTTTTTTCACTTTATCTTCTAGCAACCATCATTTATATTTCCTTTTCACCATTCTTTCACAATTCTATGTGATTTCTCACTATGGAATTGTTCTTTAATGTATTTTTCACACAGTTAATTTCCACCAATGCTAGTAGATTACTAAATACTAGTAATCCATTAATATTAACATAAAAATGATTATAGATAACTTATAACTGTCTCTATGTCTATATACATAAATTATTAGTGCCATTTCCCATTCCTCTGACTTGGATGTGCTATCTCTAACCTCGCTGGCCTTCCTTCTCAGTTTCTTGTACCTATGGCCAATGTGGCATCAACCCTGCTTCTATCATCGTCTGCATCATTTGCTATCCCACTGCTGCTGGATACTATGATATGCTATTCATAAACGTCATCAGCTTGAGCTCGATTTAATCAGTGGTTACTGAGCATCATCTTAAACAGCTACCACAAAAGACATATTTATGCAGTTAACTCCATGATGATGAAGAGTTAGCACTGTTTCTATAGTTGGCAGTTATTGAGTTTTTCCAACACATAAAATGAGCATTGATTTAGCTAACACATGATACTGATTTTGTATCCTGGAGATTATAGATGAAAATATAATAAAAACAGTAAACCCTATGCCTATAGTTTTCATGGTAAGATTTAAAACCAGGGTGAATTTTTGTACTGTTTAATGTATATTTCCATCTAGCCTTTACCTCTTTATGAAACCCAAAGAGAGATGTTTATCATTTGCTTATTTATTTTCTATTTCACCTTTGTTGTTAAAACTACAATGTAACAAATAAGTATAAACCTCTAAGTTTGGAAAAGTCTTAGATATACATTCTTAGTTCTTAGTTAGACTTAATTTGCACATTAATGAAATAAAAACCTTTTGCTAAACAAATGCAGTTCTTTATATACCTTTTATACCATTGGTTTAATTCTTTTTCAATGGAATTTTTTTGATCTCGATACTTCTAAAATTGCATTCTATTCTAATTGTATTGGATTTGTTGCTTCTAAGTTTAGTTTGGCTATGTTGCCTAAATAAATGCAGATTGTCTTGTCCTTAGTCTTTTCTCAGCCACATATAGTTGAGTTACTCAGCTTTTTATGATGAATTTTTAGAGCTTGTTTGAAAATCTACCATGTTGTTATTATTATATTTCTGGGGGCTTTTTTATTTACTTTTTTTTAACCATTAGATTTCTGGAGCTATTATTTTAAATATATTATATATATATATATATATATATATATATAGGGATGTTAGATATATATGATTATGGATAATTCTATACATAGGAGAAGGATTTTCTTTTTTTCTTTTCACAGACCATTAATCCAAGAGGGTTGGGGAGAACTGATGACTCTTAAACAAAAAATATCTATGTACTTTCAAATTTAAGAACAGTGACTATAAAACCCCATTCAATAGATTTTAACCTTTGGGGAGTTAGAATCCTTTTGAAAGTCTAATGAAAGCTATGGATCTTCTCCCCAGAAAAACACATATGCACATAAAATTTTTTTAGCATTTCATGGGTTCAGGTCCTTTGAAACAGTTTCTTAGGTCCCAGGTTAAGAGCTGCAGTTCTTCACTAAATAAAAAGAACTGTGTATGGAGACACCAAGGAAAAGGCCAGGAATTGGGCAGGAAATGGGCACCATTAAAGAGAGACTATGCTCATGAAATAATATTTTAGGATATCAACACTAAAAACATAAAACAGGCTTGTGGATTTTTTTTTAGTTTGTAAGCATAAATGAGTGATGCCACCGTCAGACCCATAAAATAGATAAGTTTATTTCAAGAGTTATGTTGAATCCATGGTAATGAGTTTATGTGATCTAAGGACATATTTCTCTTGTAACTGTTATAGGTTTTTGGTTGTTTCTTCCTACCTTAAGAAGCATTATGTATCCCTTCTTTGTATAACTCTGTTTTTAAAAAACTTTGTAAATTTTTCTTTTAACAGTCAGCCAAATTACGTAAGCTGCCTCCCTTTCTTACTGTTTCATTGCTAAGATTTAATTTCGATTTCGTGAAATGTGAACGCTACAAAGAAACTAGCTGTTATACGTTCCCTCTCCGGATCAATCTCAAGCCTTTTTGTGAACAGGTTTGAACTATTTTATTTTTAAATTCTTTCTTTTCCCCTTCCAAGATTGAATCTTTTATTTATCTGATTTTCGGTTGGTTTATTGCAGAATCTTTCAACCTTGGCACTGTTAACATTTTAAGTTAAATTATTCTCCATTGTGGGAGACTGCTCCAGGCATTGTAGGATATTAGTAGCATCCCTGGCCTCTGCATACTAGATGAAAGAAGCATCCGCACTCCCCTTCCCCTAGGTGTGGCAAACAAGAATGTTTTCAGACAAGGCCAATGTCCATGTCCATGTCAATGAAAATCACCCCTAATTAAGAACCACTGATTTATTTACAGTCCTTTTGAATTTCCAAATTATGGATTTGTTCTCAGTTCTCTTTATTAAACTCTTCTTGAAAAATCTTTGAAATGAGAATTTAAGAACAAAATTGGAAATGACCCTGCATTTAGAAAACTTGCCACTAATTGGTACTTTGCTATTTGGATTTAGTTTATTTTAGATGAAATCATGAATTACGCATCTAGAAAGCGAAGAGGCAAATGGAACTAGTCTAAAATTGTAATCCTCAAGACATAGGAATAAAAAGTTTTGAAAACAAATTAATTACAAAATAAACCTGCTTTATAACCCATTTTCAAATATTTTTTATATCATTGCTATACATGCCAACATCAGAGTAATGAGAATGATTGTATTTCTTATCACAAATCATTTTTTGTATTAAGAACCAAATATTTATTAGCTAGCTATTGAATTTCTATGTAAAAAAGTAATATTTTTATAAATGTTCTTAAAATTCAAACTTTTCACACCTGAGCCTTCTCTACTTCAAGCCTAACTACTGAGCTTTTTGGTTTTGGTTTTATTGTTTGAATTACTAATGAAAGATTCTAATTTTCTGTTGACCCTGAACCTGTTATTGGCATACCCAGAATAAATAATTTTCCCAGAGTTAGTTAATATACTTTCCCCTACTTTTATAAAAGATAGTTTGTCAAGTGATTTTAATATACTTTGATATAATAAAACTGGAAATTGAGCACTTATCTAGGAAATCCACATTAATTTTACTCTTGGATTTCTGCATTAATGGGATAAAATGTCACTTTGCATCTTTGTGTATACCTCTTGTCTTCTGCCTGAACCAGGCATTTAAAATGTTTCACCCTTTAGAAGTATAATATTTTAAGCGAATAAATTCTTCAAATAACACCCATATGTACATTTTAACATCACAGATGAACACTGAGTTTAGACATCAAAACTGGAAGGGAGCTTATACCTTGTAGTTTAGACTCCTCGAATGTGAAAATTAAGGATTCTTTTTTTTCTGCATTGGGAATTTAAATAAACTTTTTTTTTTTTAAAGATAGGTTCTTATTCTGTTGCACACACTGGAATGCAGTGGTACAATCATAGCTTTCTGCAACCTTGAACTCCTGGGTTCAAGTGATCTTCTGCCTCAGCCTCCCAAGTAGCTGGCACTACAGGTGTGCACCACCATATCTGGCTAAGGAATTTAAATAAACAGCTTTAAAGTATCTCTTAATCTAAAGTAATTTTTTGTTTTGTTTTTAATTGCTGGTGTAAAAGCTCATCAATTGAGTCACTCATGATTATAGAACATAATAATTATAGAAAAGGATGATCATAGAATTAATAAAGCAAGAAAGAACCTCATCATTCCACTAAACTGCCTCTAAACAAGACCAGCTGGTATCCATAATTGCTAAGTTTTTGTTCTATGTAGAGGACTGAAGTATCATGAGGGGTGATAGTGGATCTGGCTTTGACTTTGAGGCACACAATAGTTGAAATATAGGACAATTTAAACAGGTAAAGAACATATACATAAAGCAGTGTAATAGGTATGATACAAGGATGGATTTCTGTTTCTAAAAATGTCTACCACAGACTCACTGATAGGGTAAGGCATTTAGTTGTCTTATTGGCTTACCTGATCTTAGCCAAAGTACATAAAAACAACATCTCTTTCAGATACATGTGTTCCTGTTTAAGAGGCAGAATTTGATTGGTGTACTATGATTGGTATTAGATCAATGAACTAAGAGTTTTAAAATTTAAAACCAGTTATTTAAATTCACCTTTATTTATCATTAAGTAACAGAATAAACAGTGAAGTTTCTTATTAATTTCAATAGTTGAGGCTGGGTGCAGTGGCTCATGCCTAAAATCCTAGCTCTCTGGGAGGCCGAGGCAGGTGGATCGTTTGAGCTCAGGAGATCGAGACTAGCCTGAGCAAGAGCGAGACCCTGACTTTACTAAAAATAGAAAGAAATTAGCTGGACAACTAAAAATATATATAGAAAAAATTAGCCTGGCATGGTGGCACATGACTGTAGTCCCAGCTACTCGGGAGGCTGAGGCAGGAGGATCACTTGAGCCCAGGAGTTGGAGTTGCTGTGAGCTAGGCTGACGCCATGGCACTGTAGCCTGAGCAACAGAGTGAGACTCTCAAAAAAGAAAAAAATTTCAATGGTTGAAATTTTTTGCCCTTTCATTATGTATCTTACCATTTTATGTAAACTGTATCAATATTTATGTTCTTTTTTCTTTTAGAGTGAATTGGATGACTTAGAATATATATATGACCTCTTCTCAGTTATTATACACAAGGGTGGCTGCTATGGAGGACATTATCATGTATATATTAAAGATGTTGATCATTTGGGAAATTGGCAATTTCAAGTAAGTAATGAAATTTATTTAGAAATATCTGTATAATTCCTTTGCTTTTCTATTTCTGTTATTTTGTTGAGGATAATCTTTTACCACTTATTATATATTCACTCTGTAGAAAACTTTGATAAGCACTGAAAGTTAATATAAATGTAAGTTTTAAATTTTTATTTCTGAATAATTGCAGATTTACAGAAAAATTACTTGAATGGTAAATAAAAACACCTCCTGTATATCCTTTACCTAAATTCTCCAGTTAACATTTTGCCACATTTGTGCACGTGTATACACAGACACACACATTGTTAACATGATTAATGGTGCTGACCCATTTGAGATTAAGTTGAAGACATCAGCCAGATCTAGAGTCACATTTGTAGTTGATGGCCTCCATGCTTCTAGAGAGACTAAGAGAGACTGAAATGTTGACTTCGTTTTTTTCTTGTTCCCAAATCCTGCTTCAGAAAGCAAAAATGTTGACTTTCATCCAGGGAAAATTACATGAGGTTGGTCCTGAAAAGTTATTCCTTACAGACAGTATGTTCTGAAGAACTACATGTATGTAGGGAACCACTCCTTGAAAGGGAAGAATAGCTGAACTATATGCAGAAGGAACACTACCTAGCTATGATTAGAATATTTGGAATCCTTTGTCTCTAGACACAGGTAATCTCTCAGGATAATGGTAATAAACAGACAAGCACAGTGTCCAGCAAATGTTTCTACTAAGGTGAAATTCTTAAAGCACTAAATCATTATTTGAACATCACAAAGCTCTGGATGAAAAGCTAGTGATTGTTAAAGATCAGGACAATGAGAAAAAAAATTAACAAATGGATGCTTGGTAGAAGCCATGAATAAGAAAGTATACCAAGCACAAATGGGAATCAATCTTCTGATTGTTGTCTAAGCCATGAGGAAGACCTTGTACAGTAACAGAGGTTCAAGAATAGACAGGCAGTGCAGAGAGTGAAGCCAAATGAAGGAATGCCTGCCTGCCCCATGATCCACATTATAGAACTGGGAGGAGACTCTGATACTGTTAGAAAGGACCTAATCAATTCTTAAGAAACAAGCACAAAATTGCAAAGAGATGGCCAAGAAACCACAACCCCAAAAGTAAGACATGAAAGAGAATCATTACTCTTGAAATATACTGCCTCACCAGAATACGAAGCTGCCTCTGTCATGACCTCAGTGCTAAACTTGAAGATGAAATTGCAGATAATATATGCATCAAAAGACTGAGGATAAATGCTACAAATCAGAAAGATGCCTGAAATCTGAAACTGACTGAGCAAAAGCTGAAATAGGCATCAAGGAACACACAGATATACTCCCAGAGGCTGGGTGCCCTTTCTAAGTCTGCAGAGAGACAAGATGGTATTGAAAAAGGGTTACAATAAATGGGAGGCATAATTGGAAGAAAAAAGCCAGGAACTGCTGAAGGCTTCAACTTCATCTTACAGAGAGAATGAAATAAGGCTAATGTCATTGTTTGAAAAGTGTGTGTGTGTTGGGGGGGGGGCAGGTTAAGGGGCAATGAGAATGGCCACTCCAAAGAATAAGGATTCTCTACCATAGGCAATGGAAGATGCAAGAAAGTGGGGAAGGTAACGTGTAAAGCTCAGCTCAAACTAAACATGGAGACACTGAGAACTGAAACAGACCAGATGAGGATAAGAAGTGACTCACTTTATCTGATTGGGAAGGTGCTCAACAAACTAGTGTCTAGCATGGAGGCCATCAACTACAAATGCGACTCTAGATCTGGCTGTAAAGAGGAGCTTGATCCATGGCTCCCACTTCCTCGGAGGCCTTTTGCTTCACAAATGGTTGGTATCCTTGGAACATCCTCTCGCAGGTTTGAGGAAGTGGGGCAGAGAAGGTGTCACAAGAGCACCCACTTGGCAGCCCTCTGACTGGTACCGCTGGACCCTCCCAGCCCCACAGGACCAGGGCTGGACACTGGCAGAGTGGAGAAGGATGGGCCCAGCCTATGTGTCATCTGCATCAACTTGTCAAATATTGGGGTTGTGAGCTCAAGTGTCATCTCTATAATGCCAGCTTGCCTTTCACTTCCTTTTACTTTCAAGTCTCTTTTCCATAGTTGTAAATTTATTTAAGCACTTTAAAAATACTTATTTTATTATTTTCTATCTGATAATTGTAGTATCTGAAGACTCTGTAGGTCTGATTTGGGTACTGCTGATGCTGGTGATTCTATTTCCTTATGATTTTGTTATTTTGGACTATAGGCTTCTTGGTTTGTTTGTTTTTAAAAACTTGATTTCTAAGAATAATTTGATGCCTGTGTTGAAAGTGCCTGCGTCCAAGAAAGATTTGTTTGTTTCAAACACAAGCCTGGGGTTACTGCTAGCCCTTAACAACTTTAAAATCTGGACTTGATGGTTTTAGAGCTATACAGCTAGTGTGAATCTGGGCCACAGTCTCACATGAGGACCAATTTAGGATTAGTAGAGGACATGCTTTTTCCCCTTCATCCAGTATCAAGGCCAAGGCAATTCCTTATTGTCCTGTATTGTGGGGTGAATTTTTTTTTTAGCTCATGCTTATATTGAGGGTATTGGGTTCCAGCTTTATGCTGGATGTTATTGTTATGATGTAATAAAAAGTATGTATTTGGTCATTGTCCCCACAGTTAGCACAGAGCTCTTTGGAATTTCCTTAGTGGTGGGGGTGTCTTTTGTTATTCATAATTAACCTCTTTCCACCATACCTGAGTTGATGCTAATGAGGTCACTCCTAGATGCCTCAGGATGGGGCTAGTGGCCAGAGGCACCAGTCATGTTATTGGAGGGTTGAAACTTCCAGGCTTGGTTCCTGAACTTGGGGAAGGAAGAGGGATAGGAGATTGAATTCTGTCACCAATGACCCGTGATTTAATTAGTCATGCATCTGTGATGAAACTTCAGTAAAAACTCTTCAAAAACAAGGTTTGAGGAGTTTCTGGTTTGGTGAACCCATCCACATGCTGGGAGAGTGGCCACCCAATTCCGTGAGAACAGTCTCCTGAACTTAGGACTCTTCTGGACCTTGCCCCATATATCTCTTTATCTGGCTGTTCATTTGTATCCTTTATCATAAACTGTAGTGTAAGTTCCTGAGTTCTGTAAGTTGTTCTAGAAATGTGTGAACCTGAATTAGGGATTGTGGGAACCTTAGAATTTGTCAGCCAGGCAGAAGTGCAGGTAGCCTAGGGACTCCATTTGTGGTTGGTGTTTAAAGTAGGTGACAGTTTTATGGGACTAAACCCTCAGCCTGCAAGATCTGCGCTATCACCAGGTAGTTAGTGTCAGAATTGAAGGGAATTATAGGCACCCAGTTGATGTCAGAGAATTGGTTGTTATTTTAAAAACCAAACAATCACTCAGCTCCATACTTCGAGTAGGTCTTGGGCTTCCTCTCTCGAACTGTGTCCTGTATAAGCATCAGAATGAAAGCTCAGTGTCAGCAAAGTTGGTGTCTTACTCTGTTCAAGCTGCTATAACAAAACACCTTGGACTGGGTAATTTATAAACAATAGAAATTTATTGTTCACAGTTTTGGGGACTGGGAAGTCCAAGATCAAGGCATCAGCAGATTTTGTGTCTGTAAGGACTTGCTCTGCTTTAAGACATGTTTTGCTTTGTCTTTACATAGTAGAAGGTGCAAATGCAAACAAGCCCTCAGGCCTCTTTTATAAGGACACTAAACTCATTCATGAGTACTCTGCTCTCATGACCTAATCACCTCCATAAGGCCCCACTGCTTAATGCTATTGCATTGGAGATTAGGTTTCAATGTGTGAATTCGGAGGGAACATAAACATTCAGACCATCACAGTTGGAGAGCTGGAGGCCTCATCTCTGGATTACTTCCCTGGATTCCCATCTCACTTTTTGACTTCTGAAGATTTTTCTGATATTCTTGCTAGTTCATCATGTGTTTAAAAAGATGTTCTTTTGTTTTATTTTGTTTTTACTTTATCCAGCATTTTTATTAATTTTGTAGCAGGATGGTTGTATCTGGTTTGCCATATTCTAACATTTCTTGATTATTTTTGTCTTGTGTTGGTTGTTTAGGTCTATTTGTGTTTATGTTTTTAAGCTAATTTGAAATACTTTTGCAAGATGACATGTATGAAAAAAAGTCAATAAAAATAGCTTACCAGGGTATTAATCATTTTGACATATTCCCCATTACCTTTATAGGATGGGGTAAAAACTTGAATGATCCCGAAATAGAACGGAGTGTTTAAGATGAGCCTGCAAAGATGGGTAGGATTTCCTTAGGCCAACACAAGTGAGTGAGAACATACTGGATGAAGACCAGAAAATATTTTGAGCTGAATGGTAATGAAAACCTAAAGTATCAAATTACTCAGGATGCAGATAAAGTAGTGCTGAGCCAGAGAATGTTGGAATCCACCATATGTATTGTGCTAGAAACTTTACTTATCTCATAATATCAATTTACAGAGAAAGCCACAGAGATTAAGTAACTTGTCTAGGATTGTTCAACCAACAGCTGGAATTCAAAGCCAGTTTTACCTGATTCCAAAACATAATATACACATTATTATGATGTTTTTTATTGTTATTTCCCCATCCTGAAACTTCCATGGCATAGACATTCCAATTTTGTTAAGTACTTTTTAAGGGATTAGTAACAGAAACTCTTTTATTGTTTTCCTTTCTAAGGAGGAAAAAAGTAAGCCAGATATGAATTTGAAAGATATTCAGGATGAAGGAGAGATTGATGATCCACTGATGATTCTAAAAGCAATCTTATTACAGGTAGTATATGTATGTGTATGTGTTTATATATATGTATGTATCATATATATGTGAGATTCAGTTGAGAGATCTAATACTGTTACCAGTCATAGTCTTTTTTTTAGGACATTCTCCATGTTTACATTTTAAAATTTTTTGTTGGGTATTTTCTGGTTATAAAAGAAATATATTATCGTGGTAGAAAGTTCAAGGCAAAAACCCAGACAATATATAAAGTAAATGAAAAGCATCAATAGACCATATGCCAATAGTCATTGTTAACACTTTGATTGTATTTTTTGCATTCTGTTTTCTTTGTATATGTATATTGGGGTTGGGTTATGAATTTTTTTGATTATTGTCATTTTAAACAGAATTTTACCTAAAGTGTATGACTTTTAATGTTTATTTAATATCCTGTTTTAAATATGTTAGGTCTCCTTTCATTTATTCATTCATTCTTAATAAGTGATTTTTTTATAATTTCTATTAGGGACCTGGGCTGAGTACTTTAACTATGTTGATCTATGGGCACTGTGTTAGTTTTCTAGGCCTGCCATACAAAATGCCACAGACTGAGTGGCTTAAACCAACAGTCCCCAACCTTTTTAGCACCAGGGACCAGTTTCATGGAAGACAGTTCTTCCACGAATGGAGGGAGGGGAGAGGTGGAGCTCAGGCGGTGATGTGTGGCCCTGTTTTCCCAACAGGCCACAGACTGGTACTGAGCCTGGGCCTGGGGTGCAGGGACCACAGTTTTGAAGGCTGAAAGTCCAAGGTCAAAGTGTCAGCAGTTTTAATTTCTTCTAAGGTTTCTCTCCTTGGCTTGCAGATGGCTGCCTTGACACTGTGTCCTCACATGGTTTTTCTTCTGTGCATGTACATCCCGGGTGTCTCTCTCTCTGGGTCCAGATTTTCTGTTCTTAGGAGAACACCAGTCAGATTGGTTTAGGGCCCACACTATAATGAAAATGGCTTCATTTTAACCTAATCATCTCTATAATGGCCCTGTCTCCAAATACAGTCACATTCTGAAGTATTGTGGGTTAAAGATTCAACATATGAATTTTTGGGCAATACAATTAAGCCTATAGCAGCCACAACTCACTCCCTTTTAGAACTTGTTTCTACTTTGAAACATTCAGATAAGACATTAATAATCTTTCTTTTTGGCACTTAAATATTTCTTCTTAAAATTGCATATAATATCAGGAATTTGCCAAACCTCAGGCTATTCTTGGATATATCTATTTAAATTGTTAAACTGCGCACACAAAAAGTGGCAAAAATCCAAATTTTCTGAACTGAGGCTTAATGTACTTTTTTTTTTTTTTTGAGACAAAGTCTCACTCTGTTGCCCAGGCTAGAGTGAGTGCCATGGCGTCAGCCTAGCTCACAGCAACCTCAATCTCCTTGGCTCAAGTGATCCTCCTGCTTCAGCCTCCTGAGTAGGTGGGACTACAGGCATGCGCCACCATGCCCGGCTAATTTTTCTATATATATTAGTTGGCCAATTAATTCTTTTCTATTATAGTAGAGACGGGGGTCTGGCTCTTGCTCAGGCTGGTTTCAAACTCCTGACCTCAAGCAATCCGCCCGTCTTGGCCTCCCAGAGTGCTAGGATTACAGGCGTGAGCCACGGTGCCTGGCTTTAATGTACTTTTTAAAAAAACATTTGCTGTCCTAGGCATGTTTAATTAGATGTAATCCCATTGGTCCCTTTGAATTTATAAGTGCATAATTATTTCTTATCAGATTTTCTTAAGTGACTTTGTATTTCTTTCATAAGGAGGAGAATAATCTAATTACTGTTGATCAGCTGGGCCAGAAACTCTTGAAAAAGACGGGAATATCTTGGAACAAGAAATACAGAAAGCAGCATGGACCACTGCGAAAGGTAATAATGGCATCATAATAGAAGTCCTAGTCCCAGGAAATTTTATTATGACTCTAGCAACATGAATTTCTTTGCACGAAGGTGTTTAAAATATGTGAGAATAAATTCAGTAGTTTTGTTTAATGGCTAAAATTCTACTAAGTTACTTATTAAGTATTACTTTTAAAGTTATTGATTACAGAACCAAGAAACAAGCAAAAAAGGGAGGAGGAGTGGCTCCTAATCAAAACAGCAAAAAGAATGTCACAAAGTTCAAATTCTAAAGCTTGTCATTTTACTTACAGAAATGCTTCAGGTACTTGATCTTTCTTTTATGCAGAATTCTAGTGAATTTAGTGTTTACTAGAATCTAAGCTGTAAGAGTAGATGAAAAAACTGATACTGCCAGAAATAAGAGGTGACAACTTGACTGAAAACAAGCAAAGCAGCAGAACATTTAGTAAACATTTTGAAGCTATTTCCTATAGGAGCAAAACACTTACCCACATCAATAAGTGTTTAAGTGCATCTTTTAATCAGACCACAATAAATAGATTTTTTGTTGCTTCTTACATTATCTTGGAAAATTGTGTTTTTTAGAGAATTTGTCTTTTTATCTCTGATGTCAAATTTATTGGCATAAAGTTGTTCAAAAATATATCCATATATTTTTTTTTTTTTTTTTTGAGACAGAGTCTCACTCTGTTGTCCGGGCTAGAGTGCCATGGCATCAGCCTAGCTCAAAGCAACCTCAAACTCCTAGGCTCAAGCGATCCTTCTATCTCAGCCTCCCGAGCAGCTGGGACTACAGGCATGCACCACCATGCCTGGATAATTTTTCTATATATATTTTTAGTTGGCCAATTAATTTCTTTCTATTTATAGTAGAGACAGGGTCTCACTCTTGCCCAGGCTGGTTTTGAACTCCTGACCTTAAGTGATCCACCCGCCTTGGCCTCCCAGAGTGTTAGGATTACAGGCATGAGCCACCGTGCCTGGCCTAGCTACTTGTTTTCTATTTCTCTTCTATTCTTTGTTATTTTGTTCTTCCTTGCCTGCCTTGTTTTGGATTAATTAATTAATTTTTAGTGTTCCATTGTTATCTCTTCTATTGACTTTTTTGATTTACATATTTGTTAAATTTCATCTGGGGATTACATTATCCATAAATTAATATTATACATTATAAATTAAATTATACTACTTCATGTACAATGTAAGATGCTTAGGAAAGTATAATTCTATTTTCTCATTCCCATCCTTTTTACTATTGTCTTTTTATATTTTACCATTGCATATGTTGTAAATTCTATATCTTATTATTTTTGCTTTAAACACACAAGTGACTTTTAAAGAAATTAAGGAAAAAGTAGTTTTGCATTTATCCATTGTGATGTTCATTGCTCCGGTTGTTTAGCCAGGTTTGCATTTAATATCATTTTGCTTCAGCCTGAAGAACTTCCCTTAGCATTTCTTGGAGTCCAGAACTGCTGGTGGAAAATGCTTTTAGCTTTTGTTTCTCTGAAAATCTTTATTTTGCCTTCATTTTTTAGTGTTTTTTTGTTTTTTTTTTTTGATGGTTATAAAGTGCTAGGCTAATATTTGTTTGTTTGTTTTTCTTTCAGCACTTTAAAGATGTCATTCTGTTGTGTTCTGACATCTAGTATTTTGGATGAGAAGTCAACTCTCATTTTTTGTTTTGTTCTCTTTTTTTTTTTTTATTTCGGCATGTTTTGTTCTCTTGAATGTAATGTTTCTTTTTCTCTGTCTACCTTTAAGATTTCCTTTTTATCTTTGGTTCTCAGCATCTTGACAGTAATGTGTCTAGGTATCATCATTCTTTTTGCCTATTTGCATTGTATTTGGTAAGTTTTTTTAAATATCTCTAGACTCAAGTCTCTCTTTAGTTTTGGAAAAATTTGGGCCATTATTTCTTCAGTTTGTTTTTCTGCCTCATTATCTCTCTTTTCCTTCTAGGCCTCCAATTTCATACAGTTGTCCCTTAGCATCTTTGGGGGATTGGTTCCAAAGCCCCCTGAAGACACCAAAATCTGCAGATGCTCAAGTGTCTTTTATAAAATGGTGTAATATTTGCAGTAACCTACACATATCCCCCTGTATACTTTAAACCATCTCTGTCTAGATTACTTATAATACTTAATATTGTATAAATAGTTGTTATACTATAATTTTAAGTTTGTATTATTTTTTACATTGTATTTTTTTTTGATATTTTCAATTTGTGGTTGGTTGAATCTGCAAATGTGGAACCTATAGATACTGAGGGCCGGCTGTATATATTAGACTATTTGATATTTCCTCATAGGTCTTGGACATTCTGGAGTATTTTGTTTGTTTGTTTGTTTTCATTTTATTTTTCTCCCACTTCAATTTGGATAATTTCCATTGATCAGGTTCATTGATTTTTTTTCTTCTGCTGAGCCACTCTTCTCTTAACTCCAACCAATAAACTTTGTGTTTCAGACATTGTATTTTTTAGCTGTAGGATTTTCCACTTAGTTCTTATTTAATGTGTACATTTCTCTGCTGAAATTTCCTATCTCTTTATTTACCTAGTCTGTCATCTTTTCCTATAAATCCTTTAATATATTTATAATAGCTGTTTCCTATTATAATATCTAGCTTAATTCTGGATCTGTTCCTATTGACTTTTTTTTTTTCATCTCTTGATTATGAATCATGATGTCCTGTTTCTTTGCATGTTACACAATATTTTTAATGTATATTTTTATTTTTTAAATTATAAATCAACAAATTATAGTTAAATATTTATGGCATACAAAGTGATGTTATGATTTATGAATACAATGTAGAAAAATTATTAATAAATCAAGCCAATTAACATATCCATTACCTCAAATACTTAACATTTTTTGTGGTAACAACTTTTGAAATTTACTATCATCAGTGATTTTGAAATGTACATTGTTGTTAGATTATTAAATATGAAATGTTTGATTTCCTTAAACTAAGTTTGATAGTTGTTATCGCTGACATTTCACTTTGATACTTCTTGTTTTATTTTTATTGTGAAGGTATGTCCTCACTCTTTCAAACGCACATTTTGGCTTGTGATTATCTTTCACAAGCCATGGATAAGTCAAAAATTCATGTTATTTTCAAATATGAGTTCTGTTCTGGAACCAATACAATGCAAACAGATCAAAATATCAGGGAATGTTTGGGAAGGATGTGGCTAATGAACACACAGTATGTCAGTGGTTTGAGAAGTTCCATTCTGGTGTTTTTAATCTTGAAAATGAGCCACTTGGGCGACCTAAGACCAAAGTGGATAATGATGAGCTGAAATCTATAGTGGCATCCCAACCTATGAGTGAATTAGCAGCAAGGTTTGATGTCACTATTCCAACAATATTACACCATTTGAAACAAACCAGCAAGGTAAAGAAGCTTGCTAGATGAGTTTTGCATGAATTAAACAAGCATCAGAAGAGAAATCATCTTGAAGCTTGTCACGACATAAAGGTAAACCATTTCTACACCATATTGTTATGTGTGATGAAAAATGGATTCTATTCGACAATCACAAGCATTCAGCAAAATGGTTGGATAAAGATGAAGTGCCAAAACACAGTCCAAACCGAATATTCATCAAAAATAGCTAATGGTGTCTGGTGATCCTGCACTGGTATTATCCACTACAGCTTCATCGAACCTGGTCAATAGATTACAGTGGATGTCTGCTGCAACCAACGGGATCAAATGACGAGGATACTTGCGATTAAGTGGCTGAGATTGGTCACTAGAGACAGGCCAATCCTCTTGTAAGACAATGCTCATGTTGCACAAATAACACTGCTCAAACTACAGAGGCTGGACTTGGAAACTCTCTGTCATCCACTGTATTCTATTCACCAGATCTTGAACGGACTGACTACCACTTCCTCCAGGCTTTGGACCACTTGTTGCAAAGACAAATATTCAGTTCTTAACAAGCTGTGGAAAAAGCCTTTCATAATTTCATTGCCACTCACTTTCTAGGCTACTTCGTTGCTGACATAAACAAGCTGCCATTAATATGGCAAAAGTGTGTCGATAGTTTAGGCGCATACTTTGATTAATCATACTGCTTCTTGTTAGAGATAGAATAAGCTATTGATTCAAAATCAAACATTTCATATTTGATGACCTAATATTTACTGTACTCACCACATTGTGCAATATATCCAAGAAAACCTCAAAATGTATTCTTGCTGTCTAATTGTGGCTTTGTATCCTTTGACCATCATCCCTCCATCCCCCCCTCTTTTAATCTTATGTTATCTACTGGACATTGTGGATGATGTAGAGACTCTGGATGATGTTATTTTTCTCTAAAGAATTTTGCATTACATTCTCTATCAAGCTCATAAATTACTTTTGAATCTTTTTGATCCTCTGGAAGCTTCATTTTGGGCTTTGGTAGGGTGGGTCTGTTACAGTTTTGCCTTTAGTCCTGGGAAATGGCCCTTAGTCCTGGGTCATGGTCCTTCCACTTAAGGTAGGACTAGCAAACTATAGCCTGTGGGCAAAATGTGGCCTGTTGCCTGTTTTTGTACAGTCTTTAGCTGAGAACAAGCTTTATATTATTAAATGGTTACTTTTTAAACAATTCTGTAAGCACCTACATAATGTTCTCAATTTTACCTCTGAAGTATTTACCATCTGGCTCTTTAAGAAAAAGATTGCCATCCCCTTCTAATTTGCCAGGACTTGAATTTCCATGTTCTTTCTCCTTGGCAGCAGGCAGCTCCGCTCAGATATTAATCCTAGCTGTTGCTTTCTACTGGGTGCTTTGGGGCCTACCAGTTAGGAATTAGCCAAGGATTTAGGGGGATTTGATACAGATTTGGGCTCCTTTATGGCATGTTTTCTTTTACTTTCTTGCATTTCTGGTATTCTCAACTTCTGTGTCCTCAGCCCAATAAGACTCCTGCCTTCTTAAACTCTATTCTACCACGCCCTGTTACATACTGAGACTTTGAAGTATTAAGTCCTCTCCACTTTATGTCTGCTTTTTTGGTTACTTTCCCAACAGTTGTTTTCATTGTTTTGTCTAGAATTTATCATTTACATCAGGAGGGTTAATCTAATAAAAGCTCTCTGCCATTACTAGACTGCACTGAAATTTGAAGCTTAAAAGAGTGAATTTTCAACTATCAAACAAAGAAAAACTTGGGTATACAGAAAGTTCATTACTTAAAAAAAAGGAATTTCACTACTCAGAGCTTTCAAATTGTTAATACTTTATTGTATCTAAAACAAATTAGCTGCAAAACTATTTTACCCTCTGTTCTCATACACAGTGTTAACAATATTGTCTTTGGGTCATATGCCCTATGGCATAGGCCTATGCTCTTTGGTTTGTGACAAAATCATAGTTTTGATTAGAGAGTTGACATTACCACAAATTACTTTCTTTCCAAGAGAAAAATGAGAAAATCACCTTTCCATGGTGATTGGTGAGGTAAGCAAGCAATTTTCTATATAAAGTAAGTTTTTTCAGAGAGAGGAGGAGGTGATGCAAGGCCGCATAGAGATTAGGGAGTGAGAGAGCAGAAGAGTAGGGGATGAAGAGGTAGGGTAGGCAGTGGGAAGAGAGTTTTGCTTTGTTTTTTTCTCCTAATCCTTTAGCAAGAAGAACTTGAGAAATAGTCTTTGGGATTATGATTTAAGCCTTTCTACTATGCTTTGATTTTCTGAACTTACCTGTCAGATTCCAGAACAGATAACATTCAATTCAGTTAATCTTAAAAGATAATTTAAGTTTACAGTACTGCTTTATCTCAACAGAGTCTTTCTGGGTCACTAGTTTTCAAATTATATTTTATAGTCATGCACTGTGGGCTTGCCTTATTTCAAAAGTGTTTGTTTTACTAATTTGTTTTAGTTAAACACTTTTTTGAAACAGCATTAATAAGGTATAATTACAGTGATTTTTAGCTTGTGGTATGGCAACTTTCTCCCTTGACATAACTATTAATATTAGACTGTTGAACAGAACACTCTGGTCTTATTAAATGTTTTATTATACCCAAATGGATTTCTTCCCAGCCCAGCTGTCCAGGCCAAAATTAAAAATGAAGTTAAATGCTATCATCACAGAAAGGAAGAAAAAGTTATTTTTATCATGTCTAATTTTAAAAAAAATTTTATTAACCTAGTATTTGTTTTTTTGTTTCTGTATAGTTCTTACAGCTCCATTCTCAGATGTTTCTACTCAGTTCAAATGAAAGTACAGTTAGTCTATTGAAGAACTGTTCTCTCCAGGCTGAGTCTGATTTCCAAAGGAATGATCAACAGATTTTCAAGACACTTACTTCAGAGTCCTTGGGATTAAACAGTAGCACCTCCTGTCCTCACTGGTTTGATATAAATGATTCCAAAGTCCAACCAATCAAGGAAAAGGATATTGAACAGCAATTTCAGGGTAAAGAAAGTGCCTATATGTTGTTTTATCGGAAATCCCAGTTACAGAGACCCCCTGAAGGTATGAAAAGAAAAATCTACCTATTTGTTTAAGTTTATGACTTTAGAAGATAAACATCAAATGCTGTTTGAGTTTTTACCCTAACAGTTTGTCATTTTATAAAGATTATATATTTCTACTTAATTTTCTCTAGTATAATAATATGAGATCATAGTTAGATTTTCAAAATTCACTTTTCGTGGTCACACAATATATTATCTTCTTATTGTGTTAGTAAACTTGAGTGCTATTGTCCCATGCTTGGCTCTGTCATTGAGCCTTATGTTGCCTTTGAGTTGTAAGTGGCTTTGGTCTTATTTTTATATCTTCCCCTTTGTTTTTCTCTCTCTTTTATCTTTTTCCTCGAGGTAATGTGTTCTTTGAGCAGTTGAAATATCTTTGAAGCACTCTTCATTGAACTTACTAAGAGAGCCCAGACCATGGGGGTTAACCATCGAGACCCATAATAATAAAGAGAATTTTTTAATTGAAGTTGATATTAATAACATGAATAAGTCAGTAAGGCTTTTTGATCAATTCCCAAAGTCTGCTGAAAAGCAAAAAACCCTAATTAGGAAAACTTTGTAAATTGAGTCATATCTGATTAGAGATCAGGATAATGTTCTTAGAGAATGAGCATAGTGATCATTTTTATAAACAAAAGGATAAAGCAGTTACTAATTTTCATGTGAATCACAGGAAATTAACTTTCTAGATCTGAAACAGTTATATAACTATGCTGTAAATCTGAAAGGTTTTGCATTTTCCTGGGAGAAAAAAAAAGATATAGTAATAAGCCTGATGAAAATATTGTGTATCAGAATACACAAGTATGGAAAATATATTGACAGAAAAAGAATGTCTTCAGATGGAATATTGGTCTTTGTCATGGAATTGCATTTTAGTATGAGCATAACTAGAGCGTGTACTGAATGACAGTTTTCCAGTTAGCTTAGGAATTGAATAAAGGTCCAGCCAAATTCTTGATGCACTTTTTTTGGAGGTGGAAGGACAGAACTTTATAAAATGATTCTAAAATTCATGTAAAGTAATGAAACTTAAAGAAGGGGAGATTTACTATACTAGTAAAAACATATTTATAAAGTTATAGCAATGAAGGCAGTGTAGTGACAATGCAAAGAGTTGAACAGATCATTGAAAGAGAGCAGTAAGCCCAGCATATGATCCAACCATATGATCCAAGCATATTTGTGATTTTAATCCATGGTTAGGTAATTCTTCAAATAAATGGGGTGGGGGGAAGTGAATTACTCAATAAATAAAACTGGGAAGTTGGTTCAGTTGCTAGGGAAATAACTAAGGCATTTTCCCTATTATACCAAACACTTAAATGATAGCTCTTTTAATGTTTATGTAAAAAAGGAAACTTAAAATGTATAAAACTTAAATATTTATCTGATGTTAAGATAGAAATGACTTTTCTAAGCTTAAAAAGCAAAGAAAGGAAAAAATTAAGGAAAAGTGATATAAATCTTAAATAGAATTAAAAGGCAAATAGGGAAACAGTAAAATATGTGACTAGTTCCCCTATCTGTAGAGTGCTCTTACATCTGTTCCACTGTGCTCAGTAGCACATTGGGAAAAGGATATAAATAAGCAGTTTACAAAAGAAGGAATTCCTATTTCTTCGAAAAATATTTCAACTTAACCCATAATGAAAAAAATGTGAATCACAATGAGATGAACAGCAATGAGGTGCCACTTCTTTCCTACCAAATCAAATATAGTTGATGCTTCCTCCACAGCTGGTAGTTATGTAAACTAATACGATCAGTTTGGGTGTATGTATTTAAAAAGCATTAAAACAAGCATGCCTTTTAAACCAGTATTTCTACTTCCACAAGTTTGTCTTGAAATAGTCAGAGCTGTGTATGGATATTTATGTTCAAAGATGCTTGTTGCTCCCATTATTTTATAATAGTGATTAACTGGAAATCACCTTAATGTCCAACAGAAAAAGATTGGATAGATTAATTATGCTACTTACACAGTGGACTACTATGTCATCATTTATTCAAGGCTTTGGAAAAACACAACATATGAAATGAAAAAGCAAATTAAAAAATTTGGTAAATATGATTCCAGTTATAAAAAAAAAGCATGTATGTGTGTTTGTGTATGTCTCTTGGGAGTGAAATTACAGGTAGTATCTTTTTCTTTTACACTTTTAAAAATCATTTTCAGAATTTTTACAGTAAGTAATTATTACATTTGCAATCAGGATGAAAACGTGGGTACTTTTTTTAAAAAGTATACTTAAAAAGAGTTGAAAAAATGGAATTCTTCTAGCGTGGCTTAAAGAACCTATTTACCCTTCATTTGTTCTAACCTTTTCATTTTTCAGATGGAAAAACTGAGATCCAGAAAAAAATTAATATTCACACAGCTAGTTAGTGGCACTTTTCCTAGCTCCCAGCACAGTCCTTTCTGGTTTTCATGCTACCTCTTCTACACTCAGATTTCATTTAGCCAACACAAATTAATGAAAAGTTTTGTTCACAGCTCGAGCTAATCCAAGGTATGGAGTTCCATGTCATTTGCTGAATGAAATGGATGCAGCTAACATTGAACTGAAAACAAAAAGGTAGTTTTAAATTACTTTTAGAGTTTAAGTAGTATTTCTGGAGAATGAAGATCTAATTTAGGCCATAAGCATCAGTAATTAAAAAGAAAAAAATAGTCAACTAATTAATGCCAGTATTTGTTTGGCTACTGAATTTTTATAGGAAGGTGTCCTTTACCTTGAAAATTATCCTTATCCATGAGAGTAAACTAAATAATGACATATAAAACGGCCATTGCTAAGTGAATATCAAAGCCTAAGAAGACTAGAGAAACTGGTGAGCACACAGTTGGGTTAAATGAATTTGTATCCTGGCCTGGCAGTATTACTCTCTTGGGTACAAAGAGAACCTTCCGATAAAATGACCCCTTTTATTTAAGTATTGTGGAAAACTGGCATGTAGTGACAGAAGACCAGAGGTGGGCAGATTTTCAAAAGAAAGGAAATATGGATTCTACAAATGGTTGGGTCTGATGTTAATCTTGGGCAAACGCCTATAATGGATTCTTAAAGGGATGGTTTATGAGAACTTGATGATCTCAGTATTCTCTTTTGGGGCCTAACACTGGACCCTGAAGAACTGATTCTTTATTTGTGCTCTGACAGGGTCAGTAGGATATTAGGTTAGGGGCCAGTGGGCTGACTATATAGTAGGGATGTGTTTACCATTTTTATCATTGACTTAGAACTAAGGAAAAACATAGCAAGTACAGTGAATGACACACCAAGATCAAAGGAACTCTCAACAAAAACCAAGGTACTAAAAACATGAAAACCTAACAGAGTGCAATAAGTGTAAAAATAACCTGCATGAGTGGTCTAGACTAGCAGTTGGTATTAAAAAATAAATTTAGAAAACCAGAACAATTTGAGGGGTTCTAGCCAGCCAGCCCTAAGTTCTTTAATGTAGTCATGCTCTCTGACCACATTAATATTAATAGAATGGTATCTCATGTACCTGAGTCATGGTGATAAGCCTTATTCCCCCTCTAAATGGTCAGAGTCCGCTTAGGGTAATGTGTTTGGCACCGTGCTGAGTCAGCTGAGTGGATTCAGAAAGGAGCAACTAGAGCCAGGCTGTTGCTAAAGACATTTAACCTGGAGAATATAGACTCAGGAAGTTCATGCTAGTGACTTTTAATATTTTATGGGAGAATCTGTGGAGACTAATCAAAGTACGCATAAAGGATGACATAGAAGTTGGTAAACCTGCCACTTATCACAATTAATGAGCAGGTTTCTAACATTTTATTCATAATTACAACCTCAGGATTAGAAGATTTTTAGTGGCTGGGCATGGTGGCTCACACCTATAATACTAGCATTTTGGGAAGTCAAGCGGGGAGGACTGTTTGAGGCCAAGAGTTCGAGACCAGCCTGGGCAACATAGCAAGACCTCATCGCTACAAAAAAATTTTTTTAAAAATTAGTCGGGCATGGAGGCACCTCATACCTGTAGTCCCAGCCACTTGGGAGGCTGACGCAGGAGGATTGCTTAAGCCCAAGAGTTCAAGGCTGCAGTGAGCTATGATTGCACCACTGCAATCTCTAAAAAAATAAAAGCAAAAAAGATTTCACGTGTTCAGAGAAATGTGATTAATATGGCATAGTCTATGTTAAAACAGTTTTACCTTAGAATTCATGGTGACAGAGCTGAATTTTTGCAATTTATTGAAAAACTAAAGTGAATCATTTTGGCACATAGAAGAAAAGGATGTTATTTAGGTGAAATGGAGACCTTATTTGTATTATAAGTCAAATATTTTTGGTTTGAGATGAAATAGTGTAATGTCATGAAATAATGTCATGAGTGTTTGAGATGAAATAAAAAATCATAGTATTTATGTATTTTTTATGCCTCTTTAAAGGGCAGAATGTGATTCTACAAACAATAATTTTGAATTGCATCTCCACCTGGGCCCTCAATATCATTTCTTCAATGGGGCTCTGCACCCAGTAGTCTCTCAAACAGAAAGCGTGTGGGAGTTGACTTTTGATAAAAGAAAAACTTTAGGAGATCTCCGACAATCAATATTTCAGGTAATTTAGCCTTACTTCCTCTTAATTTAGACATGAAGGTCCATCCATCTTGAGCATTTCATCTGTTTAGGATATAACTTTGTTTTTCAAAGCTGCTTAGGAAAATTTTACATCTGCCACTTCATGGAAGGCTGACCTGAATATTCTCCCCTACTTGTAAGTCTTTTAGAGAGGCTGTTCTGCACAGCTCCTAACAGCAGCTTTTCAGGTGGAGAAACAGGCCTGGTACATTTTATTTGGGGCGGAAAAGAATATATATATGGTTGTCTCTTTTTATGGAAAATAAAGAGAATTACTTTTCAAAGGCAGTGAGAAGATACAGATGAGCATGTTGCTTAAAACAGAACTCCTAACAAGTAAAAGCAACAAATTTAGTACCCTTCAATGTAAGACAGCATTTATTAATAAGATTCTTAAGTGAAGAAAAGTATGTTACTAGACTATAGTGAAAACAACGTTGTAATCATTGTCTCCAGATAATTTATCCAGCTGTGTTGTAATGATAGTAATAGCAAAAGTGGCGTTCCTTATGTTACTAACACTGCTTTTGTATAAACTGTATAACGTGGTTCTTTGACCTCAGGAGGGCAGGCTACTCCTTCATTTTGAAGATGAGATCATTGAGATTTAAAGAGACCCAATGTTTTGCCCATGGTCAGAAATCTAGGCTTAGTGGGACGGGGACTCCAGCCATGGTCTCACTGTCCATCTAGGATCCTTTCCTCATAATCACACTACTTCCTGACCAAGGAAAGGGAGATAGAAAATGTAAGCTTTTTCGTGTTTTTCCCAGAAATAATTTAAATGAATTTTCTGAAATACTGTATCACTCACCAAAATTATTAGCTTCCTTTTGATTTTTTTCCTCTAAAGAGAAGCAAACCAATTTCCATTTTAACTTTAGCTGATTTGAATGTTATTTAAATGTTGTATTGATGTCAAGATCTCTAAAATGGCCTAATACTTCTGAACTTTGTCATTAAAAGTTTATTTCTGAGCCAATTCTGACACTCTGCCACTTTTCCTATAGGTGGAGTGGGGATCTGAACCTGTGTAGGGTGAAATTTCAAATGGAAAATACCTTATTTACTTCATAAGTTTTAGATACACTCCAGCCTGTGCTTTTTGTTTGTTTTAAGTGCATATCTCTATTATCTTAGAAGTAAGCCACTGGCAAGAGGTTAAGCAACTGACACAGCAAACTAATCACTTATAAATGTGAAATTTCTTTTTAAGAGAAATGTCTTCTGGTATTGTGGAGAAAGACTAAGTAGGCATGACCTTTATGGGTGATATTTTGGTGAGGTTACCACAGTGCCCAGAGTCTCATCTATAAACTTAAAGAACAAATCCCTGGTAATCTATTAAGTAAACTAATAATGCCACTTATTAAACTTACAAATTTATATTCCTTTCAGGGAACTAGAATAATAGTGTGTGCTAGAGTTAGTGCTGCTTTTCCCTGAACAGGACTGATTAAACAAATAAGTTCTTTTGGGAAAAGTTCCTAAACTGGCATGCTGTTCAGTTTGCTTTCTGATAAAAGTGGTCTTCACATAAATTAAATAGAACTGTTTAGACAGTTGTGTTCCTTGTGTATGCCAGAGTTCTTCAGTCAGGAATGGTTGAGATTAGCCATCTTTGGATTTGACTAATTTAACAAGGGATGTCTTATTTCCAAATTTTTCTGTTAGGTAGGAGGGGGAGTGTTCATTTGCTTGCTCCCTGCCTCACCTTCCTATGTGAATTGTCATAGTACTCTTCTCACCTACCCTGCAAAGGTGCAATCTACCTATCTTTGTAAACATATGTGTGTGAATTACTTTTCATTATTCTCTTTTCTTTCATTAATATTCTTTAGCTATTAGAATTTTGGGAAGGAGATATGGTTCTTAGTGTTGCAAAGCTTGTACCTGCAGGACTTCACATTTACCAGACACTTGAAGGTAAGATAAAGTTGAAAACACAGCAATTCGCTTTACACATTTATGTTTTTGTGGGGCTTGTCTGTGATTTTCTACCTTTTCTTCTAACATGGAAATCTTTTATATTTTCTGAAATTAAAGCAACTTGTCTACCAAAAATGTCTTTAAAGTCTTTAGAATTTTTTTTTTATATTACCACAAATTGTTGAGCAAAACAGTTAGAAACCATTTGAATCTTATTTATATGACTTGGTTTTCTACCCAACCCTCAGCTTCAGACTTTGAAAAGTATTTTAAAAGTTTAAAAGTCTTTACTGCCTTTAAATAACAACAAAACAATGATAATAACAGTAGCAGGAGTAACATTTAATTTGGGCTTCGCTATGCCAAATACTTTAATAAGTGTTTTAAGTGAATTATCTCATTCAGTTTTCACAAAATTTTTTTATCACCATTTCATAAATGAGAAAACTGAAGCTGAGAGACTTGACACGCACAAGGACAGACAGCTAACTAGTGGTGAAGCGTGGGCCTAAGCCTAACTCCTGTTCAGAATGTCATGTACCTCAAGTATACTTGACCTTTGTGTCTACTCTTGTCTGATCATATTCACAAAGCTTATGTGACAACATCTTAAAGAAAAATTTTAAAACAATAAAAAATAATATCAATATAAGAAGAATAATTATAGCTTTTTTCTTAATTTTCCTTAATAAGAATGCTTTTTCTAACAAATATTTAAATGTCTCAGCTCTTTCTTTAGCTAAATTGTTTTTGATGACTCATGAAAAATGGTCTCACTGGTGATCTCATCTTTCTAGGAGACGAACTGACACTGTGTGAAATTGAAATTGCTGATGGGGAAGATATCTTTGTATGGAATGGGGTAGAGGTAAAAAAAATTACTGAAGAAATATTTATGATAATTTGGAATTTTAAAAGTCATTGTAAGGAAATTTTATTCACATGTGAAGGCAGTTAGATAGTAGAACAATGCTGAAATGTTCCATGGATGTTAGGTACAGCCAGTGTTAGTTCTATGTTAAGGAGGTATTTATTGAGCACCTCTGTTATGCCAGGCTATATGTCAGATGCTAGGTACAAAGGCAAGTCAGTCAGTCTGTGTCCTCTAGGCGTTTCTCGTGTGAATAATTAGTGTGAACAATTGCACTCTGTGTGCTAGAGTGGGGGGTCTATGTGCAGTGCCTGTGGGAATTCAGAAGGGAGTGAGTTGAGTAGCTGTACCAAGTTAGGGAATGGAGGTGATTTGGAGTGAATGTGTATCTTAAGAGGGCAGTGAAGAGCATCTCAGCCACTCTGTGGACTGACTGTGGTCCATCTGGCTTCATTGCTACCACTGGTAATTCATAAATTTCTACCATCAGTCCAGATTTCTCTCCTAAAAAATAAAAAGTAGATAAGAAAAGATTTCAAAAGATAAATCTAAAGTTGTTCCTCTGATACTTAAAAGACATTTGTGAGAATTTTATTTGCTTGAAAAAAAAATGAGGATTGTTCTACAATAGTGATTTTTTTCTGTGTTATTATGTTGACTTAATTTGGCAAATATAAACTGTGCTAATGGTTGTCTTGATATGATTGCAGGTTGGTGGAGTCCAGATTCAAACTGGTATTGACTGCGAACCTCTGCTTTTAAATGTTCTTCATCTAGACACAAGCAGTGAAGGAGAAAAGTGTCAGCAGGTGATAGAATCTCCACACGTCTTTCCATCTAATGCAGAAGTGGGCACTGTCCTCACAGCCTTAACAATCCCAGCAGGTGTTGTCTTCATAAACAGTGCTGAGTGTCCAGGTGAGGAGAGCTGGACTGCCATTCCCAAGGAAGACATGAAGAAAACATTCAGAGAACAAGGTCTCAGAAATGGAAGCTCGGTTTTAATTCAGGATTCTAATAATGATGATAACAGGTAACTCACAAAAGAGAGAAGAAGAGAAAAATTTTTTAAGTCATTTTAATTACAGTGTCATTCAGTAGAACTCTAAAGCTTTATCTCAATGATGACTTAAATGTTTTTTTTATTTCTAGACATTGTGTTCTAAATATTATATATAGGAATATTTGAGGTTATGCAACTTAGAGAAAAAATGTTGTAAAGTCATTTTTTTGTAACTGTGGTGACAAAATAATATAGGTATCCTTGGTTTTATAGACTAGATATAGTCTAAATTAGTTGGCAAGAAAGCAAATTCCTATCAGGTGAATTCTGATTAGCACCCATTAAATAACCAAAGGCATATTCTCACAAAGAAAATTCCTGAAATTTTTCTTGAGGGGAGGTATTAAAATGATGGGTAAATTGTGTCTGGGTATTTTGTTATCAGAGACCTATAAGACAATTCAGTTTTTCCTTATAATCCTTTCTGTGACTCTTGAGAGACTCAGCTACCCAAATAGGGCAGTGACCCGGGGTCCTCTTGAATCTTGTATTCACATTTGAAGCTCAGAAGTGCTACGTCTCTCTGCTTTTGTCATCTCTGTCTGTGACAGGACATGTCTGTAATCAGTGTGTCATAAAGTATAAACCTCACATTTCCATAAATTGAAGACTTCAAGTTTCCTGCTATATCAGTGCTGCAAATCTTAGATTGCAGGACCTCTGTATTGTTGGTGACAGTGGTTGTGACACAGAGGAGCAGAGCACTTGTGCACTGTGCTTATTTTGTATTACATTTATCAATTGTTACTCTTTTGGACAGAGGTTTCCCAGACATGTATTTCCTCACCTTGTTTATAAGAACGTTTGTTGTATATTCCTCTATAAAAGGTAATACACATTTATTAGGACTTTGGAAATAGCATCGCCTCACCGACCATGCAGTGTCAGTCACTGTTAGCATCTGGGTGGCTTTCCTTTTATTCTGAACTCAAGTTACTGTTTTATTGTTTTGAACTTTTATTCTGAACTCAAGTTACTGTTTTATTGTTTTTCTTTTAAAACATAATAATGATTATTTTGTAGATAAATAGTTGTATCCTGCTATCCCCTCCACCCATATTTGTAGACTCTTTAAAAATTTCGTTTGACAGCAACATAGTAATCTATGCCTCACTGTGCTCCTAGGGGAGGCAGTACCATGTAGTGGGCAAGGCTCTGGGTTTGTTTCCCCACTTTGCCACTTACTAACAGTGTGACCCTGGGCAAGTTATTCCATCTTTCTCTGCTCAGTTTCTTTTTCTGTAAAATGGAGATAATAATTAGTACCAACTTCATCAAATTGAAAGGATTGAAAGAGTTAAGTGCTTACAATGTGTTTGCACATAGTAATTACTAAATGTTTTAACTGACACAATCATTGACCTTATCATCATCCAGTTTTTCACTAACATCTTGTGCTTCAAACTTTGTTATATTTAGGATTGCTAACTTAAGGTGGTCTCAGAGTGTAATTAACTAATATAAAAAGTAGAATTATGTTTTAAGGCTCTGGTATACACTCCCAAAGAGGACTTCTGCTAGCCCATTCCGTGCTTCTGTGCAAATTAGAAGAAAGGCACCCTTCCTCAAGACCCTTTACTACTATCTGCAGGAAAATTTTTTAGAACAAGATACTCCTAGCTGTTATCATAAAACAAAAACTCTATAAGAAATACAAATATACAATGTATACGATGCATATGACACTCCTTAGATATGACACTTTTGTGCAGTGTCAATCTGCAGACTAAACACAGCTACCCTGTTGTTAAACTGAATCCAGCTCCTATGGGGTGGGCTTCTGGCATAGGTATTCTTTTAAAGCTCCCTGAGTGATTACAGTGTGCAGGCAGAAGTCAACAACTGATTGTTCAATTACAGCAGTTTTCTGTGACAAATGTGGCAACAAATTATTCTTAGAAATCAAGGAATATTTGGAGTCATGAATATAGAATCCATCTACTGCCTAACATCACCCTAAAAAAATAGCCAACTTTCATAGAGAGGACTCACTAGAACTTGATCACCTTTTAAGGGTCACCTGCAGAGTTTTGTAAGTGGTACCTAACGAAAACTGTTACTTTTCTGATCTTTTCTTTTTACCTACAGTTTGTTGACCAAACAAGGGAAATGGACTAATATAAATGAGATCGACTGGCTCCAAGTTAAAAATTTATGCCAATTAGATTCTGAAGAGAAGCAAGTTAAAGTATCAGTAACTGGTAACACGGTGAGTTGATTATAATTAAAGTTTGGCTGACAGTTTTTCTGTTAACAGAATTTTATTTAAAAAGCAACATCTTAACATTTCAGAACAGTTGTTTCAGTAGACTTCTAAATCTCTTAAAAAAATCAACTTTTTCTTTTTAGCATTTGATTGTTGCTTATTTATCTATATTATTCTTTGGCATGTTTCAGAAAAATATGTGCCTTTTTTTCCCCTCCAAATCCTAGAATTAGAATATGGGAGTTACCTACTTTGTTAGTTCATGGAATCCTCTGGCTCCCAGAAAACGGAATTCTCTGGCTTCCTTGAAAATGCCATTTTCAAAGCTATTTTCTGTGCTTTTTAAAGCAGGTATACAAGTATATGTTTTGGTTTTGTGCTGTGGGTTTTTGTTTTTAAAATTTATCTTAAGTAGTTCTACCTTATAGTCTGTGCTCTGTATAGAACCAACTGCTCTCTTTCAAAGACTATGATGCTGGTTACCTTAAATATCATCTCAGGAAACATCTTTTTATATTTATGCAGTTCTGATTTATTAAGTCTTTTCTATAGCAAGTCAAAAGAAAGTTACTAAAATGTTGTTTTATTTTATGTAGATATTGTAATTTCTTAAGGTATGTTAGTATTTGTTGATACAGTTCAGGAGGCAGTGTAAGATCAGTGCACTAAAGCTCAGGAGACCTAGTATCCTGGCCCCAAGTGGGAGACTTTGGTGAAGTCCTTTACTGAGTCTGTTTTTTCTTGGTACAGTGTGGGGTACTGGTGGGAGGTTAGAATAAATTATCTCTGACATCAGTTTACCCCCTAAATTTTCAAGATTTTATCCCCTAGAGGAAATTAGCTTAAACTAAAAAAAAAAAGATAAAGAAAATTTAAAATAAAATAATTTAAATAATGCTCTTGGACTGATATTATAAATTTTTATATTATTTATGTTTATGGGCCCCAAATTCATCATTCCTAGCATAGAGAAATGTGTTTGCCTGAAGTTTATTTTGTTTGTTCTCATCATGAGGGTTAGTGGTTTGTCAACTTATTGCCTTTCCAGCTAGAATTGCTTCTTTAGTTTTCTGTAGGTGTCCTTTCTGTCCCAACTAACATCAACTTGATAAAATTTAAGTATGAGGATCTATTCTAAGTTTTTGCTTTTGACCTTATAAAAGAATTTCAGGGATGAGAAAAAATTTTCAAGTAGGCAAAAACTACTAAATGTAAGTAATTAATGTCTCAGATAATCTTTGCACATACTGATAATCTTCATTTTCATCTCCTCCCATTGTTTTCAACTTATCCACAGTCATTCGTTTATTTCTGTTTTTATAGGTGGTGTTTGATATTCGAATTAAAGCCATAAAGGAATTAAAATTAATGAAGGAACTAGGTAATTATTTATATTTGCTTTTTGGTCTTTGGTTTAATTTGGTTTTGCTTTTTAATTGAAAAAATATGGAAGAGTACGAAAAATAATTTAGGGAAAACTCAGGCACCTACCACTCAAAATGGACAAATGTTAACATTTTGCCATGTGTTTGTTTTTGTTTGAAACATTGCAGATAAAGTCCTTTATGTCCTTCTCCTCAGACCTATTCTCTCTTCCTCCTCAGTTGCAACCGATGTGTCTGATTGGGGTATGGTGTTTATCTAGTCCAAGTATTCATCTCGTACTATATATATTATACTTACATATGTGTATATTACATTTTTATATTTATATAAATTCTAACATACTGAATATAACTTCAGACTCACTACTCAATCAGCATTAGGGTTTTTTGACCACTTTATTAAGGTATAATTTACATACCATAAATTCACTCATTTTCAGTGTATAATCAGTGATTATCAGTGTTGAATTGTATAACCATTACCACAATCCAGTTTTAGAACACTTTGATCATTCCAGAAAGATCCTTAGACCTATTTGTATTCTGAGCTCCTGACAACCACTAATCTACTTACTTTCTGTTTCTATAAACTTGATTTTCTGAACATTTCATATAAATGGAACCATGCAATATGTAGTCTTTGTGTCTAGCTTCTTTCACTTAACATACTGTTATTGAAGTTCACCCATGATTTAGCCTGTATCAATAGCTTGTTCCTTTTTATTATTGGCTAGTATTCCATTGTATGGCTCTATATCACATTTTGTTTATCATGGACAAATATGAGTGATGGACATTTGAATTGTTTCCACTTTTGGACTTTTATGAGTAATGCTGCTATAAACATTTACTTATAAGACTTTGTGTGGGCATATGTCTTCAGTTCTCTTGGGTAGATATCTATATAAGATTGGAATTGCTAGGTCAAATATGGAAAATTTATGTTTAACTTTATAAGATACTGCCATACTATTTTCCAAAGTGGCTAAACCATTTACATTGCTACTAGCAGTGTATCAGGGTTGCAGTTTCTGTTTTTGACTATAGTCATTCTACTGAATGTGAATCGGTATCTTGTGTGTAAATTTAGCAAGAAGTCAAAATCAATTTACAGAAATCCATTGTATTTTTATCTACTAGCAACAAAAAAAGGATATTGAAATTAGGAAAACATTTTTAGTAGCATAAATTATGAAATATTTAGGGATAAATTTAACAAAATATGTGTAAGACCTGTGCATTGAAAACTAGAAAACATTTCTGTGAGATATTGAAGAAGACTAGAATAAACAGAGCCATGTACCATGTTCATGGATCAAAAGACACAATATTGTTAAGAGGGTACTTCTCCCCAAATTGATTTGTAGATTCATTGCGTTCTTACTCAAAATCCTAGCACATTTTTAGAAATTAACAAGCTGATTCTAAAATTTATATGGAAATGCAAAAAACCTAAAGTAGCTATAACAATTTTGAAAAAAAAAATTGGAAGAGTTACACTATCTGATTTCAAAACTTACTGTAGACACTGTTTTGGCATATAGGTAAACATATGGAGCATGAGTCGGCAAACTATGGCCTACAACCTGTTTTTATATAGCTGGTGAACAAAGGATAGTTTCTTCACTTTAAAAAGGCTGGTTAAAGAAGAATGTGCAGCAGAGATCATATGTGGCCCTTGAAGCCTAAAATATTTACAGCGAAACTAAATAGAGAATCCAGAAATAGGTGCACACATAGTTGACTTTCAGAAAAGGTGACAAGGTATTTCCATGGGGAAAGATAGTGTATTTTCAACAGATAGTGCCAGATCACCAAATAACCAGATAACCAGGTATCCAAATGCAGAAAATCAAATGCAGATCATTTGGTTATCCATATGTTCAAAAATGAACCCCAAGCTTTACTTCACATGATGTAAAAAATTAACTCAAAATGGATCATAGAACTAAATGTTAAAACCTAGAACTATAAAATTTCTGGGAGAAAATGTATGAGAATATATTTTTTACTTCACCATAAGGAAAGGTTTGTATATTTAAAGATAATACTCAAAAAGCACAAACAATGGAAAAACTAATAAATTAGACTACATCAATATTTAAATTAAAAAATTTAAATAAAATTAAATTTAAATAGAAAAAACTAATACACTACATCAAAATTTAAAACTGTTCTTCAAAAAGGTTTTTTTTTTTTTGAGACAGAGTCTCACTCTGTTGCCCAGGCTAGAGTGAGCCACCGCACCTGGCCTTCTAAAAGCATTTGAAAAGGCAAGCCACAAACTGGGAGAAAATAGTTATAAAATGCATATTTGGGCCAGGCACGGTGGCTCATGCCTGTAATCCTAGCACTCTGGGAGGCTGAGGCGGGTAGATTGCTCGAGGTCAGGAGTTCGAAACCACCCTGAGCAAGAGCAAGACCCCGTCTCTACTATCAATAGAAAGAAATTAATTGGCCAACTAATATATATATAGAAAAAATTAGCCGGGCATGGTGGTGCATGCCTGTAATCCCAGCTACTCGGGAGGCTGAAACAGCAGGATTGCTTAAGCCCAGGAGTTTAAGGTTGCTGTGAGCTAGGCTGATGCCATGCCACTCACTCTAGCCTGGGCAACAAAGCAAGACTCTGTCTCAAAAAAAAAAAAAAAAAAAAATGCAAATTTGACAGTGGATTTAAATACAGAACATATAAAACAATACTTGTAACCTAAACATAAGGCAAGCAACTGAATCTGAATTGGAAAGATCGAACAGATACTTTACAAACTAAGTCCTACCTGTGAATGACCAGTAAATTTAGGGAAAGGAAAGATGCTCAGTATCATTAGCCATCAAATTAAAACTATAATGACACACTTCTGTGCACCCAGTGGAATAGTTAAAATTTAAAATACTGATAAAACCAAGTATTAGTGAAGTTGTGGAACAACTGGAACTCCCACAAATTGCTGATGGGATTATAAAACAGTACAGTCACCTCAGAAAAGTTAGATTGTTTCTTATAAATTTAAACATTCACTTACCAGGTGCATGCCTGTATTCCCAGCTACTTGGGAGGCTGAGGCAGTAGGATTGCTTGAGCTCAGGAGTCTGAGGTTGCTGTGAACTAGGCTGATGCCACGGCACTCTGGCCCGGGCAACAGAGTGAGACTCTGTCTCAAAAAAAAAAGCACATTTTAAATTGGGGAACTCTTCACAAACTCTTCCAGTTGACAAGAAATTTACATTAGAATTATATGCTAGCTTCATTTCACCATAGTATAAGATATTGAACTAAGAAATCACAGAAAGAGATTCTTCCATGATCTAATAAAATTAGAACTTCTAAGGCCCATGACATTCTTGCCAGTTCAGAAAGCTCAACCCTCCATCCCCCTCCACCCCCTTATTCATGTCCTACTTTGTAAGAATTCTGTTTGGACTGAAAACCTGGTGTGCTCATTCCCATAAAGCAGGAATCTACATACTCAAAAATAGGGCATGCTGGCCCTAATCCATTTAAAAAGCATAAAATCACCCAACATATTTTAAAGACAGACATTCTGATATGCATAAAGTTTAGTTACCATGGTTTAATTACATAACATCAGTCTCCCAGCAACATGGTTCAAACTTCAGCAACCATGGTATATTAACTGTAACTGAATAAAACACACCCTTGGCTGCTAGCTGCAGTGCACAGATGACCACATAGATAACAGAGGTGCACCGTGAGCAGTGACCAGGCACTTCACTTCTTTCAAGTCTGCTGGTGGTTGGTCACTGCATATGCAGCTCACTGCACAGCCAGCAAAGCGTGTAGTTATGTTCCCTCCTTTTCTCTAAGCGATGAACCCACATGCCATTTTACCAGATTGGATAATTGAAACAGGGAATTGACCGAGCCAGAAGAAAGGGCACAAAGAAGCAAAGATGTGTGGAATTATAGAAATAGCAGCCGCCTGTGGAATTGTTGACACTGCTGTCGCTTGAGAGACTCTAGATATGCAGCTGAGGAATTTGGTGAAGATGAACTTCCCAACATAAGTGAGGAAAGTGGTGATAAAAAGGATGAAGACTTCCCAGCAGAAGTGATGCTGGTAGAAACTTCACATTAAAGGAGCTCTCAAAGATACTTCATGACATTGAACACACAAAATATAAATTATTGGAAGCTGATCCAAACTTAGAAAGGAGTACGATAGTTTGCCGGGGGATAGGAAAGCTATACAGTGAGAAGAAAGCAAGCCCTATTTAAACTACTCTTGGTATGTGTTTTACAAAGAAAGCATTTTAATTCTCAAAGTTTCTAGTGTTTTAAATTACACTGTAAATATTAATTTTGCTGTTTTTTTCTTTTCCCAATACATGTATACCAGAGTTTTAAATGTTATGACAAAAATTTTTAAAACTCATGGAACAATTATAATTTTTTCCATTGATTAAGATTGCTTTGCAGTTTCAGCTTATATTTTTACAGTCTCGCACTACTATGCAAAGCAAAGAGTGACTGTGCTTGGTTTTAGGTGTTTTGGGTTGTTGTGGGGTTTTTTGGTTTTTATTTTTGGTTTTGGTTTTTTTAGCTTACTGTAGCTGTCTGCTGATGAACACAATAGAGTATCTCTCTCTCATTTTCTTTGGTGCCCTGACTAACTTCCTTTTATTCATAGCTGAGAACAGCTGTTTGAGACCTATTGACAGAAATGGGAAGCTGCTTTGCCCAGGTAAGTCTTTCTGGGAGCTTTCAGAAGCTGGCTACACTCATACCTGTTTGTCTTTCTTAAAACTTCTACTTTAAATAATGGCTTCCAATACCTAACATTCTTTAACTTTTAAGAAACTGATATAGACATATTTCCATCCACGTATCTTACTCATGTGTTTCAGAAAACCTTAACCAGAAACAAACACTTTGGTTTTTTTAATTAAACACTTATCTTTCTGATTATCTGATCCTCATTTTAGTCATGGTTTTGATCTTATTATATTTTTCTAGCTTTATTTTCAAAGCTTTTCTGTTTGTTTTGCTAATTTTATTGTGATACCAGTTATAGAATAAAGTCTTTGATTCTCACCTCTGTAACTCCTCTTATCATTAGACTTAATTTAGTTATGTACAAGCCTAATTATTGATGGTAATCACAGTATCCACTTGGAAGAAGGTAGTCCACCATTCTCGGGTCAATTCAGAATATCTGCCTTTTAGTCCATATTAACAGCAACTCTTTGAACAAGTCGTTTTTATTGAGTAGGAAACTAGAACTTTCATAGGTGCTTCTTAGCATTGTACAGAGAACAAGAATAAATATGAGAGTACAGAAATAAAAAATCAATCATAACCATAGTGTAGGCTTTCTTGATATTCTCTATTTTCAAAGAATGACTGATTTTAGCTTATTATTTTGCTTAGAGAGGTATGAATAAACAATATTCATTATGTTATCAACATTCTTTATAGTGCCAGACTGTTATACTTTGAAGGAGGCAGAATTGAAGATGGGGAGTTCATTGGGCCTGTGTCTTGGAAAAGCACCAACTTCCTCTCAGGTAAAATAAGTTCATCTGTCAGAATAAAACCAACCTTTCCATACCAGAACATCTTAATTTTATAATTAGTACCATAACCACACCAGTAATAATATTTTTCCTCTAAAAATTTTTTTTCCTTAAATGACAAATTGTTTTAGGAATACATCTTTATAGTTTTCTGGTTTTAAATATAAAATATTATGCCAAACCATATTTATAAGGTTCTTTTTCTGTGAAAATTTTGTTGTTAAGAGGGATCTTTAAGGTTGAGTGCCACCATTTTCAACCACTATATTTCATAAATTCTGAGATGTACCTTCTTTCCTTCACATTTTAATATCTGTGAGATTAGGTTGCATCTTACAGTAGTGGCATTCTGCAGTTATAGATGCACTGTTTTTATTTTATTTGTTTTCTTTTTAGTGGTACAGAAAATAATCTAACAGTAACATTTTAGATTTAATGAAATACAGTATATTGATTTTGGACTTATGACTCTGCAATAATATAATAGTCTCACGGCAGCTTCCCTTTCCCTTTGACTTTATCAGTGTTCATTTTTTATATCGTCGGGTTACCTTGGCTGAAGCCCTGCCTAGTTAATCAACTTATTTCAGTCCAAAAGTCATAATGATATTGTTAATACCCGGTATCAGAGTACTCTGTACTCATATCAAGTTTCCCATGATTTGTGGATTCATTTAATTAGTTTTCTAACTACTTCACTTGTAATTTGCTTTCCCTTGAACTCTAGCAAATAATAGTGCAAGAAGCTGATAGGAGGGAAAACATGACAAGTGATATTGAGATAAAAAAAAAAAAAAAGCAGGGCTATAAGGAACTAAATTGGCTAGAGATCAGATTTACATTTTTCCTTTGGGGTCTTGGGAATTATAATATACGGAATCCCTAGGCAGAAAATAAAATCAAAATTAAGTGGCTCAGAAAAATAATTAATTTTAACTGTGTATATTAATTAAAAATTGCTTTGGGGAGTGATTGAGACAGAGATGGAGCTCATAGAAGAAATAGTGTATGTGTGAGATATTTATTAGTAAAAAGTGATGAAGCATTTTACATTTGGAGGTAGGTGAAATTATTGTTTAAACTGTAACATTAAATTACTCAACATAGTCTTGTTTTTACATATTTTGAGATTTTTATTTAAGTTTCATGGAACCTTGGCTTTACTTTTACTTTCTTGAAAGTAAATAATACATTTATTGAATTTTTTAATTTAGATTAAATTACATTCATACTTCTGTCTTGATCTTAGCTGTTCCTGTTTTTTGCGATGGGGAGTGACGTTCAACCTGGTACAGAGATGGAGATCATAGTAGAAGAAACAGTATCTGTGAGAGATGTAAGTAATTTTGCCTTTTATTTTCAGGGGCTGTGGGTATTTGGTATGGGGAGCAGTGGTATCCTATGGTAGGATTTTAGAGCTCCTATGGCTAGGGTTTATATAATATGCTTCAAAGAATTATATGTACCCACTAAAGGAATAGTTTTGGGAGCTTGAAAATTAGTGCACCAACTGGAATTTTTAAGTAAGATTACTATTTTTAAATTTTTCTGATTATCAATATTATAGAAATTTGGAATATGCAGAAATGTATTAAAAGAAAAAAATGAAAACCCTTCATCATTCCTTATCCCGCCAATATTAACATTTTGGCATATTTTTGTAGTATTTATATATAAACACAGGTATGAATGCTTATATATATATAACTGTGTATGATAAAATAAATGAATAATTATGTTGTTGCTATTATTGAAAACTGGGAGTTTCAGTATTGGATAATGGAGAGACAGGTAAAATCAGCTAAACTAGTGGTTAAATAAAAACCTGTACTCATCAATTAGAAGAATCTAAATGAGCTTCATGTATTTTTTCTTTAAAAAATGTTTTTTTCTAGCTATGTCAAGCTTAGCAACAGTGACCAACCTGGTAGCAGCAAGCACCCCAAGCACCCAGATTATGGTTGCTAAAAATCTTTTTTTACTGAAAGGAACCAGGCCGGCTGGGCATGACGGCTCACGCCTGTAATCCTAGCACTCTGGGAGGCCAAGGCAGGCGGATTGCTGGAGGTCAGGAGTTCGAAACCAGCCTGAGCAAGAGCGAGACCCCGTCTCTACTATAAATAGAAAGAAATTAACTGCCCAACTAATATATAGAGAAAAAATGGTGGCGCATGCCTGTAGTCCCAGCTACTCAGGAGGCAGAGGCAGGAGGATCGCTTGAGCCCAGGAGTTTGAGGTTACTGTGAGCTAGGCTGACGCCATGGCACTCACTCTAGCCTGGGCAACAAAGCGAGACTCTGTCTCAAAAAAAAAAAAAAAAAGGAACCACGGCATCTTGGAATAGTGGCTGGTTTTATATCTAGGTCAGGAAATATGTAAGATAAGCCCGGAACATTTTGTCATCACAAAAAGCAGTGAAGCTACTAACAAAGACTGTCGGAATCATCAAAGAGACTGAGGAGCCTACTAGTCAAATGAGATAATTTGAACATCAGTGAGAAGAATAATTAAAATTAATTAAAACATATATGTAAGGCCAGGCGTGGTGGCTCACGCCTGTGATCCTAGCACTCTGGGAGGCCAAGGCGGGTGGATTGCTCGAGGTCAGGAGTTCGAAACCAGCCTGAGCAAGAGCGAGACCCTGTCTCTACTATAAATAGAAAGAAATTAATTGACCAACTAATATTTAGAGAAAAAATTAGCCAGGCATGGTGGCACATGCCTGTAGTCCCAGCTACTCGGGAGGCTGAGGAGGAGGATCGCTTGAGCCCAGGAGTTTGAGGTTGCTATGAGCTAGGCTGACACCATGGCACTTGCTCTAGCCTAGACAACAAAGCAAGACTCTGTCTCAAATAAATAAATAAATAAATAAATAAATAAATAAATAAATAAATAAATAAAACATATATGTAAAATCCATGAGTTCATACTGGTCCTAAAAGAAAATATTTATTGGTTACTTATGGCTGATGCTAGGGACCTATAAATGAAAAAAAATCAAGCATTCTGTTTTTCCTTTTCAATGAGAAGTTTTTCTTTATAGATATGTTCCAGCTAATAAATGAATAAGGAATTTTAGAATATCACAATTTTTCAACTCCTAATAAATTAATGGACCTAAGCAGTGATCCTCAAAAGACTGTTATCAACCCAAAAAAAGAACACTCAGACATGATAGAAGCTCAAAACAATACACATGCCATTCTTGCAAAAAGCAAAAAATTGGACCTGAGTCTGATCAAGCCTTAGGTCTAACTACCAATTTATAAGAAATTCAGGAGATGTAAGAACATGTAAAAGGCAGTACAGGTCTGCAGCCTGTAAAATCCAAATTGGAAACTCTTCTTCAACAGATAAATTACAGGGACCAGGGGCAACTTATAGGTCTAAAGAGTCTTAAAAGAGAGATTAGTAGCAACCAGTTGCAACGTATGGACTTTATTTGGACCTTAATTCAAGCCAAAAGAACTTTCGTAATAATTTAACAGAATGTAGAGAAATTTCAACATTACTTGGATATTTGTTGGTAATAAGGAATTCTTAATATTTTTAGATGTCAATCACTTTAGGGTTTTTTTTAAAAGAAGAATCCTTTTAGAGATGCATACTAAATATTTACAAGTGAAATCCTATATCTGCCCATTTGCTTCAAAAGAATCTGGGGCAAGAAGAGGGGAGTGGGTAGGACTATTGATAAATAAGACTGGCCGTGGCAATACAGGCTGAGCTTCCCTAATCCGAAAATCCAAAATTTGTCACTTTATTTTTATTTAAAAAATTTTTTTTAATTGAGACATTATAATTATATACATTTATGAAGTACAATTTGGTATTTTGGTACATACATGTACCAAAATGTATAGTACTATTTGATCTATAATGATCAAATCAGGATATTTAGCATATCATCACCTCATGCACGTAACATTCCATTTTGGTCAGAACATTCAAAAGCCTTTCGTCTAGCTAGGTTATAACAGTTAACTGTCATCACCCTACCAATGCGATAGAACAGAACTAGTCCTGCTATCTAATTGTAACTTTGTACCCATTGACTAACCTCTCCTCATCCACCCCTCCTGTCTCCCTTCCGCAGTCTCCAGTAACCGCTATCATAAATATCAACTCTTTTGTTTTTAGTTGAAGATTCCACTTATGAGTGAGATCAAGTGGTATTTCTGTAGTCTTTCTATGTCTGCCTTATTCACTTAATTGATGTCCTCCAGGTTCATTCTTTCATGTCGTCGCAGGATGTTATTCTTTTTTATGGCTGAATACTACTCTATTGTGCATATATACCACATTTTCTTTACCCACTCATTCGTTGTCTGACACTTAGGTTGATTGCATATCTGGGCTAGTGTAAATAATGCTTCAGTAAACATGCAAGTGCAGACATCTCTTGGACGTACTGATTTTATTTCCTTTGGAAATATACTCAGTAGTGGGAGTGTGGGATCATATGGTAGGTAGTTCTAGTTTTAATTTTTTGAGGAACCTCCATACTGCTTTCGATCATGGCTGTACTAATTTACGATCCCACCAACAGTGTGTGGTAAGTGTTCCCTTTTCACCACAACGTTGCCAATGCTGTTTTCTTTTGTCTTTTGATAATGCCATTCTAACTGAGTAAGGTGGTATATCATTGAGTTTCTGATTTGCATTTCCCTGAAGATTAGTGATGTCGAGGATTTTTTTCATGTACCTGTTAGCCATTTGTATGTCTTCTTTTGAGAAATGTCTATTAAGGGTTTTTGCCCATTTTTTAACTGTTATTTATTTTTTTGTTGTTAAGTTCTTTATATATTCTGGATATTAACCATTTGTCAGATGTATAGCTTGCAAATATTTTTTCCCATTTTGTAGGTTGTCTCTTCACTCTGTTGTTTCCTTTGCTGTGCAAAAGTTTTTGAGTCTGATGTAATCTCATTTGTCTATATTTGCTTTTTTTTTTTTTTTTTTTTCCAGGCTAGAGTGAGTACCGTGGCGTCAGCCTGGCTCACAGCAACCTCAATCTCCTGGGCTCAGCGATCCTACTGCCTCAGCCTCCCGAGTAGCTGGGACTACAGGCATACGCCACTATGCCCGGCTAATTTTTTGTATATTTATATTTTTAGTTGGTCAATTAATTTCTTTCTATTTTTGGTAGAGACGGGGTCTCGCTCAGGCTGGTTTCGAACTCCTGACCTTGAGCAATCCGCCCGCCTCGGCCTCCCAAAGTGCTAGGATTACAGGCGTGAGCCACCGCGCCCGGCCTATATTTGCTTTTGTTGCCTGTGCTTTTGAGGTCTTATTTTAAAAATCGTTGCCCAGCCCAATGTCATAAAGTGGTTCCCCTATATACTTCCCCATTCCTTCTAGTAGTTTCATGGTTTCAGGTTTTACGTATAAGTCTTTAATCCATTTTGAGTTGATTTTTGTATATAGTGGAAGTTAGGGTGAAACCACTTCAATAATGGGGTGCAAGGCAAGAACTGTGGTAAGGGCCTAGATAAAAATAATGCACAGGTCTTAACTAAAAATAATGGTAATAATTAGTAACTTTCCCCCTGTAATTACCACTCCAAAGCCATGCAGCTGGTGACCATAAAGATTTTTTTTATTTTTTATTTTTTTTTTTAATTTTTAATTTTTTTTTTTTTTCTCTTCCACATGCTTGCACTGGGGGACCACCATAAAGATTTTTAACTTCTCCCCATAGCTGGTGTCAGTAAAGATTCTTAACTTTCTCCATGATTAACATCACCTTTTCGATAGCTAACGGTAGTTTTTAAGATATCTTCCAGACCCCACATTCAAGTGGATGGATAGGCCCCCATACAGAGAAACTGACTTAACTGGAATTGTGACCCCAGGGACTAGAGTAACAGGAGATGATTTCTACATCCCTATAATTTTGCCCCAATTAACAAACCTAACTGCCTAATCCCTTGCCTGTCAAACTACCCTTAAAAACCCCATCTTCCAAATTCTCAGCAAGACAGATTTGAGAAATTTCTCCTGTCTCCCTGCTTAGTGCTATGCAGAATAAAAACTTTTTCTCCACCATACAACCTGCTGACTCAGCGTATTATAAGTGTGTGAATTTATTTCTGGGCTCTCTGTTCTGTTCCATTGATCTATGTGTCTGTTGTTATGCCAGGGCCTTGCTGTTTTAGTTACCATAGCTTTGTAGTATATTTTGAAGTCAGGTAGCATGAAGCCTCCAGCTTTATTCTTTTTGCTCAGGATTACTTTGGCTATCTGGAGTCTTTTGTGGTTCCATATGAATTTTGCATTGTTTTTCTATTTCTGTGAAAAATGTTCTTGGTATTTCGATAAAGATTGCATTAAATT